GAAGGAAATTCAGTCTTTGCATATTGCCATGGAAGTCACCAGGATGGATTACTTTGATTTAGGGCCTGCAAAGCCTGAAGCAGCAACTCTGCTACAACCTGCCCAGTGAATCCAAATATCATTTACCTGCCAGAAAGTCCAAGCTGTCTTTGTTACAGCCTGTTAAATAAGATGGATATCTACTACCATCTGTCGTCTTCTGGCACGCACCCTGTGGTCTGCGGGTACACAGAGGGCTTTACCTACCATTGCATGAGCTGATGATATTTATTGTTCATGGAAGAAGCTTAGTATGGCAAACTGTTGGCTAGCAGCTGCTGGCTGTGCTGTGACAACACTGTAAAATTTATAGACATTGAAAATTATGAGTCAAAACACATTTATTGCAATCAGAGTGGAATTTCTGCCTAAACCAAGTATGTAAACCAATAAACCTAAAAATAAACGGGTAAGCTTAGTAATTTACTTTTCAAAAGAAATGTTAGGATAAGTTTAGCATAAACAGTTCACTGGAGAGGCACGTGTATGTCAACTTTGCAGTAACCAACTCTGCTTCAAAATTTTTCAATTCTTCTTTTTGATAAAGTAAGGGAAGAAATGGGATTATTTTTTTCCAGAGCTACTGCAGTACACTGACTGCAGTCCTGGGGCTCAGGAACTGTTCCCTGTGTAAAATTAACCAAAAGAAATATGTGTATTTGAAGTAATTTCAAGCAAGCCTGGCAACAAGACCATTTGTTAAAAATAATTCTAATCCTTTTGAATGATGGATAACTATCTTCTCTCCTATTGAACTCCTGGGGAAACCCACGAGGACCACGAGATGCCATCATCCAAGGAGATACTATTGGGGCAGGGAGGTAGGGATACCTCACGGGGATCATCAACACACATCCAATCCCCACCACACTCTCCTTTAGATTAAGATTCAACTGGTGACTAGAAAATTTATGTGCATGAAAAAACATCTTGATGCTTGCTTAATGCAACGATTGAATAATTTGAGGTTGAGTGATCAGCTGCTAGATCAACTGGAACTGCTGGGTTTTGTAGTGTAAAGCCAAGCGTTATATGGATTAATTTGTAACAGACACAAATAAAATTATCTAAAATCTGAGTCTTACATAAAGCTGTGACACCATCTGCATGAAGAAGCACTCGGCATATTTTCATGTGCAACTGCCAGCAGTTCTTGTTGACTCACTACTTCCATGCAGACCTGCCTGGTGACCCAACCAGGGATTCCCATTTTCTCAGGATCTTGAACTACAAAAAGATTGGACCAAGGCTGGGCCTCCCCTCTAAGCCAAGATTTACCTCTGAAGCACTAATAAAAGTCTGTGTTGAGTGAAGGCCCTGAAGCAGAAGGTGCAGGTGACCTGTCCCTGCTTTCACAGACATTCACAAGTAGGGTTTTGTGACAGTGGATGGGACTTACCTGACCAGCAGAGAGAAAGAGGTATTATGAAAGCACATTTTGCTGGCACATTTTAGACATTTGAAATTCTGTCCTAGAATTTTCTATGTCTTTTCAGAGCTTAGTTGAGGAGTCTAGATGGTTTGCTGAGTTATCTGTGTTGTGTATATCTAAACCAGAAGAGACAAAATCACATGGAACATTGATAGGTGGTTACAGGGAAACTTCAGACAGTAAAAGAACCGTAGGCTCTTTGGGAGTGATTTTCTCTCCATTTTCTCACACTCTGATACTGAGAAGTCTTTCTTGGTCCAGCCAGGGCATGGCTTTAACACTCTTGATGGTACCACAGTCAATGGCCTCCTGTAGGGTCAGAGAGAAGTCTCTGCTCACAGGATGTGGCTGTACCGGGTAGTTAAGTTTCTTCAAATAAAGTGCAAAGCTAAGTGTAAGATCCCACTTCGGAGGGAAGAAATTCACAGCATTCTTAGATGATGCTCACAAATTCAAGCACAAGGTCATTTCTAGGAGAAACATTTTCTTTAGAAAAACAGAACCACCATCTCAGCAGAGATCACACGTGCTCTACCACGGCCACCCCAAGTAGTCTCAAATCTTTCACTACTGACATGATTTGATAGCAATCTGATATTGTACCTTATTTTCTGTTCGCCACAAAGACTGTTCATGACTTGTGCTGTTCTAAACAATTTACTGTGTGATTTTTCTCCATTCAAAAGTGAGCATGTCATGAGCCAGCTGCAGTGCCCCAGTTTACCATGAGGAGGTGGGGAGTGATTAACTGGGCTACAGACCCGGCAGGCTCAGTGAGTGTCTTAACTGGGACTTTTAGAATTGCAATTCTCAAAACAATCCCATAGCAATGCCTTTTGCTGTGAAGACATTAATCTATTGAGGTGGATCACGCCATTGAATTTCCGGTATAGTTAGTCAAATTCTTTTCTGGAAGCAAGGAACTACTCCCTTTGAGAAAGAATTGAAATTTTCTCTTTTATAAATTCCTCAAACTACTTATTCCAGCATGTTTACATTGGTTAGTATCATTCTCGCCTGGCATAAATGAAGAAGCTGAGGAACAGAGAGTTGAACTGGCTTGGCAAAGGTCATGGAAAATTAAATTTATTTGTAGAAATCGATCCACTATCTGAGAGTGAGGAGGTTTTGCCTACAATCAAAAGGGTTTTGGACTTGTCACTTTATTTCTGCTCTTATTGACAGACTGTGCAAACCTACCAGAATATACTTCTTCTTGTTTATAAAGCACAATGAAATGTCAAAGTGATATAAAAGTGTTTATACATAAAAGTAAACAAAAATATTGCTATGAATTGAAAATGATTTATCTGCTGAACTGTACTTTGCATACTATACGATCCGATCTTTTTTAGTTACCTTGATTTGAGGTCCATCGATTAAAGGAGCAAAGAGAAAATGTCAAGGAGCTGAATCACAGAATATTGAAAAGGTTAAAACAAAAGCAGATGCTACTAAAACACAGTTGTATGGACGTAGGAAGCATTGAAAGAATGTACCTTGTGATCCCTTCTGCACTGTCACGTTAAGGAGGGTGACAATAACAGAAAGAGGAACAGGAGACTGTTGGGTTTTGCAACAGTGGAAACAAGAGAATAAATGAAACATTTTGAGCTCCTCAAGCTAATATACACCAGGGAGGAGCGTTATATCATATGGGATTCCCTGGCCTTCTAAGCGCATGGAGTTTACGTTTAACTTACTCCTCAGCCTCACCTAACTTCCCTTGTGATACGAGCTCCTGAAGCACAAAGTATTTTTCCAAATAGAGATGTTTAATTTACGAGTTCTATTTTCCACAGGCCAAATTAAAATTTAAGCAGGAACATAAGTGCTTAGAAATAAGAAATATTATTCACACCAGGCATTTTCTAATGAATTAAAAAAAGCATTAAGTATTTATGTGAAAAATGAACAATTTTCAACATAAGGACAATTTCTACTGTTCTGCAAATGAGTACAGTTGCACATTATGTGGTCTATAATGTATTAATTATAATGTTCAGCTACAAATTTCAAGCTTGAGGGAAATCTCTGAGAGGCAAATGCAAGATTTCATTGGACAAAACTGCATTTTGGGACACTGCAGTCATGAGAACATGTTCTCAGTAAATTACATGATACAGCTGCTATAGCTGAAGGACTGCCAAGATCAAACTGTATATTGTAAACTTTAAAGACATAATATTCAAAATACATGCTTACCACAATGTACTAAAACACAGGATATGAACTTCTCTTTATTATGAAGCTCCTGGTTCATTGACAAGAACTCAATTGCCATGTGCACAGTAAGTCAGCATCATGTAGACGCAGTTAATAGGTATTATCATTTATGCCTACCCACAGCTACATTAATGAAGAAGGAAAAAATTCTTCTGGAGAGTAAAGAAGAACCATACTCATCCATCACCCCTGGGAATTGAGCTGAATTCTTCTGGAGGCAGGTTAGATCCTGCCCCTCTTAATTACTGGCCTCATCGGTTCAAGTGCTTCCAAGCAGATGAGCATTTGATGGTCCATGGCTCTGCCGTGTGCTGCAATGCTCACTTCTACCAAGGTGGGACTTCTCACACTTCATCATAAACACTGGTAACAGTGACTTCTTCAGAGTAATTGGAGAGAAATGGTCACTTCTGCTCTAGGACTCACCTGGAATACTTGTCTACCTTGTCTATCGACTGAATACAAAGACAGTCTAGATGAATTCAGATGCAGAAGTCTTCATGGCTGGTATCTAAAATCAGGTGAATTCACTTTTAAAACCAGTAGAATTCATTGGCTTGGCTTGGCAGTGCTTTAAAGCAGGGTCAAATACAGGAGATTTTAACCTGGAATATCTGAATCTGTATGTGAAACCCTGTAGCTCTTACTCAGGACCTGTTACTGTAAATCTTGAGGACCTTAAGCTTGCATTGCCTGTGAAGTATTACTCCCTAATACCTGCAGCCCTCCATGATGTATAAGGCTTTTCCCCAAGAGCTGGGCATGATTTGGTTTTATCCCTAATAGTGAGAGAACCCCTTGGGCAAGTTTTTGTTGATTTGGTGATTTTCTTACTGCATTTTTTTTCTGTTCAGAATTTTTTAAGCCTTCCTATATTTTTTAGTGAAATATGTTTGTGTGAACAGAGAGGAGAATGTCTAAGAGATGACAGATTATATTCACCACGTCTTGTAATTCAAGCTTAAGAAATATTAAGGGGAAAAAATATAAAAGCCAATATATCTTCATAGTAGATCTGGTTTAGATGTGGAAACAGCTGCTGCAGAAACTGATTTGCTGAGCTCAAAAAATTAACAAGATTTAAAGAAACAACTAAGAAGACTATCTTGTTATTCTAATAATTCACTAAAAAATCCTGGAAACTTCTGTGAAACTTTTTTTTTTGTAATAGTGTTGATCAGAAATTCAAGTATTTTACCATATTTGTCTTGCTATTGTCTCCAAGCAAGAGAAGCCAAAGGTTCCCAGTGAAGGCCCAATGTGTTCATACAATGCATCACAAAGGTATTTTCAGTCTGGTACATTTAATTTTTTTATCAGAATAATATATTTGGTATTGTGCTCATTTTAAATACTACATTGCTTGTCACACTACATTTGGCAATAACCTCTTCAAATATATTTAACAAATTGTTCCATGAGTAATAACTACATATAAAATATCTTCATTGAATTAAAAAAATCCATATGTATTTTCTTCATGAAATACAATATATACATTACGATCTTATAGTTTTAAGGTAAGTCAAAATCTGGGCTTAAACAAATTCACAGTGTCCATTTTACCTCTGCAATAAAAATCTTCACTTGAAAAGCTCCTGCATCTTAAACTGTGTTTACATATTTCCTTACATTGGATTTATGGAGATCAAAGGTTTTACCATCATCTAGCACTAGACAGCAGATCCAAATTGTACATTATAATGACAATAAATAAAGGCTTTTGATTACGAGCAAACTTTGACTGTCCTTGTTACCTCAAGTTCTGACCAACAGAGTTTTCTGAAGAGCTTGTTGAAGGTGGAAGATGTGCTTTGATCAGTATGGTCTCCAATGCGGTCATTCATTCAACGGAGCTGTAGTAAGTGCTCACTGTTTCAGAAAACCAGGCCCAAAATACTTGAGCAGAACTCAAAACTCAAGATCAGTGGCCATTCCTGGCCAAAGGAGGTGGGCAGCAACCATCCAGGAGCTTGAAGTCAAAACCTTGAAGTCAGCTTCACGCTGCCTTCTAGCCTGAGATCCCCCAACCGCCTTCATTTTCCACACAACATCTGACAGAAACCAGAGCGTTTCTGCCAAAGACCATCCAGCAGGTCATCTCAAGAGCCTGCAGTACCCCCTGCTGATTGCCACAGGAAATACTGCAGGTCATGAGGTAATGCTTTCTCATGATTAAAGGCGAGTTATGAAATTGTCTATTCTGTAGCTTGTAGTTTTCTTTAGGCCAGCACACTGTGGTTTGTAATACAGACTGCTCTACTACTTTTGAAAATCTCACTTTCCTTCTTCTCCTTCAGAGGAACAAGTCTTAAAAGTTCTAAACCCTGAGTTCATTGTGCCTGAGGCCCAAAGGACAGGGATTGTCCCACACGCTCCGTTTGTGGCTAAACTCATGGGCCAAGCAGAAGGCCAAGCAGTTCCCCCAAGCCATGACAACACCCCTGGGGCAGGCCCACCTCCACAGCAGCTTCCATCGCCCTCCAGGCAGGACAGAGCCCCCCATCTCCACCTGTCTGCATGTGATTTCAAAAACTACTCCAGTACCCTCGGCAGGACAGAGCCCCCCATCTCCACCTGTCCAAAAACTACTCCAGTACCCTCTTTTTTTCCCTGAAAATACACAGTGATTTCACCAATAATTTTTTAAAAAAGGGCTATCAGTAAGTTTAGCCAGAAATTAATCTAAACGCATTAAAAAATAACCTCCAGTCTAAAAGGGAGAGGCAGAAACATTCTGATACATTCCACAATAAATAAATTTCACCAAGCTAGTTCAAAATCAATTACTGACAAGCCATCTTCAGCCTTGTTTCCTAAACATACAAGGCTTTTATGGGTGAGTTATACATCTTGATGTTCCTATTACAACTTCTCACAGCCCTTTCACGAATTTCAACCAAGCTTAAAGAGGAGCAGAGATCCCCAATGTAATATATCCTCTAACAGCCCCAGAATTGGTGATTGTCAGAAGACAGAAACCCAAATGACTCTATTAACTGAGGGAAAAATCAGATGGAATTTTGCCTGTGTCTATCTGGAGAGCCAGAAAGCAGGTGACTGTCCAGAATGTACATATCAGCTGGCCAGTCCCACACCTATCAGCCAGGCATGGCAGGGGCTGCCTCTCGTCCAGCTAAACAGAAGGAGACACAGGAGATGAACTGCAGAAAGCAGGGTGGAAGCGTTGGAGGCTGCTGCTGATGACATGGAGGGAAGATTCTTCATGGAAGGAGTCCTAGGGAATACAGCACAGGAGCTGAGCTTTCTCCAAGTGGAAAAAAGGACAAGGGATGCAAATCCATAGATGAAATTTCATGAACTTTTGAAAGAATGTGTTTTCGTTTGCTAAGGATAGATCTGAACAAAACTCAGCAATTTAAACAAGTTTAACTGTGGGAAAACACAGTCTCCAGTGCATGACATTCCTAGAATTCAGAGAGAATTGCATCTAACAGTTTACTATCTTCCACCTTAAATAAACATTACCCACTTTCCATTCAAACCTCTACCCTGCAGTTTGTGGGCTTTAGTTGAAGACAAAAAAGCTGGAGAACTGGGGAATTCTGGAACAGATTAGAACCTCAAGGATTAATTATTTTACATTAAAGACGTTTTTTTCAGGCCTCAGCAATAGCTCTTCAATAAACTTGGTGAAAAATACTTCTTTCTTAATGCACTAACTCCTGTCTTTCAGGATAGTTCAGTGGTGACAGGGATAAGTAGGGGAGAGCTCTGACTATTCTGCTATCTACCTCTTCCACGCATTTTTAAGAAAGGCTTTTCTTTTTGGTTTTTTTTTGCTAGTTGGGAAAACTATGCTTGAAAAATTAAATACCTTTTGATATAAATATGTAAAAGCCTGGAATTTTCCTCCTTTTCTTCCCTAAAATATGTTAAGAATGCCTACAAAAGGGAATTTGCAAAAATAACCAGTTAATGTAGGAAAAGTTTAGATTTATGCTTTTAATCTTTCATGACTGGGCTTATCAAGATTCCACTGGAATTCTAGAAGAGGTAAATTGAATATTAAAATAATCTAAAATTAACTCTTCTTCAGCAGGTATAGAATAAATAAATACCTTTACTCAAGTGGTATTTCCTCTTTACCATGGACACAGAGGATTTGCCACTGTGGTTTTTCAATAAAGATTTGGAATGATTTAATTTCTGAATCTGTTGTAGAAATGTGAGCTAGACTTGAGAAAAACAGAAATATGGCTTTAAGTGAACTGTTAATGTTCTGTTTCATTCCTTCAGTGTTTAGGTTATCTCTTGCTTTCTTCTTCCTTAGAGTCAATCGACAGTTTTTCCCCAAGTTTCCGTATAAGTTCTGCCAGATCTTCAGAATTCTGAGATTTTTCCTCAAGGAGTTCATACCGGAGACTTGAGATATCCTGTTTAATTTCCTTCAGTTCACCTGTAAGAGACATTAGAAGAAAACACTGTTAACAAACAAAGGAAAATACCAGCATACTCAAATATCTCACAGTTATCATGGGATTCCTCTGGGTTCCTTTGTTGAAGCAGAAAAAGTGGCTGTTCTATGGCCCATTGAGAAATGGTGGCTTATGGATAGGAATATGAAGATGCAATTCAGGAAACAAACAAATCTGAAGGTAAAAGTGTGAGAGGTCACATCAGTTCACAAAACCCAAATGATCTGTTAGATGAAAGAGAGGTCATGCAGATCGAGGATGCCCGAGTCTTCCTGGCCAGCAGCAAGGCCTCTCACTGTCCGTAAGAGAGTGGTCCTCTTCTCTTCCTGCCGCACTAAGTGTCTTCCAAGCATCAGAGGGGTGCAAACAGAATACAACATTTCCAGGAAGTGTATTCACCATCGGTTTCCAGCTACTAAGTCACACCAAAAAAAAGGCTGAAGCATGTGTATCACCATTGATGCATCTCCCACACGAGGGAGGATTCCTACTGGAGTGTCCCAAACCAGCCGCTACATTTAATGCAGCCTCCCTAGGGGGAATGCATGGGCTTTGCTAGAAGTGGCAACATTCCTCACAAGAAGGTGTCAGATCAGTGACAGCTTCTGGTGGGAGAGCAAAGACAGAAAGCCACATCTGTGACTCTATGATCCCTTCCTTAGTTTCAATTTCATGTTATTTTTACATCTTGCACCTGTAAACATGTCAAGTGGATTAAGTATTTTGGAAACATTTTTCAAGTAGCATATGTAACCACATTAATTACTTGTTTTGATTCTCTGATTAGATCTAAACATACAATTCATCAACATACCTTCATTGACTTCATCACTTTCCTTATCTATCTGAGCTTTCAGTACATATCTTTTAATGAGACGCTTCATTATCTTCTGCAGAGAAGAAAGAAGAAAAAAAGTTTTCTTAGTTCAACTTCCTAATATCACCATGACACTGAACCTACGAGCTCTGTAATCTCCTGTTGCATTCAGACATTTCAGTGTAGGACTTGCCAGGTTAAAGGAATATAATGTAAAAATCTCCGCTTTCATCTGCAGTAGATATTTAGACTTTATGATTCTGCACATCTATGTACATAAAAGTTAGAAAACTAACACATCTTAGGAATGTTCTCATTCACGATATCACTTCACTTAATCTACTACTGGAGTCTATGAGAATGATTAATGCAGTTGCAGCTTTGATCTCCATATAGGTGAAACATCTAGCCTTTACTGCTACCAGAAGATTATAATGACCCTGATTAGCAATGCTAATTGCTAAACCCTTTTGCAATCAGTTTTAATCTAGTTTCATATTTTATCTAGTAAGTTATCTTTTTCCCAACGTAAGGCTTAGAGAAAATGGAACCCACATTCTAAGGTCATTTAAGCACCTTGCTGGGACTCATCTAACCAAATACAGATAGTTTCTAATGTACATAGACATATCTGTGGCAGCCACCTTTAACTCCCTCTGTAGAGACAAAAAGCAAACCTGAGAGGACAGTTCATCTCAGACTGCTGAAATTGATCATATAAATCACATCATTAGAATAACTACCTTCTCTGCTAAAAATAAGGGGAACCTAAGCCAGCAAATTTAGATGCAAATTTTACTTTTCCAGGAAAAATGAATTGTGCTCCTGATTCTCCCATTAGATCAAACTACTCAAACAAGAGCAAGGTCTCTAATTACCTTTGAGGATTTATCTTTGGCTTTAATATTTTCATATGGTGTAACCCATGACAACACAATACTTTTTGTTTTTCACTACAAGATAGAAAATATGCATAGATTTATGTGTCTGCTTTTGTCTCCACAGTAATATACCTGACCAGAAGTGGTTGCAAAGTGACTCATCCCAGATTAGTGGTTCCAGACCATGACTAGAGTTGTGCTTGCAAGGTCAGCAGCAGTACTGTTTATCCTAATAATCTGAGAATGTTTCAAATACAAAGCCACACATCCTTATGTTTATGCGATAAAATTGTAATCTTAATATATATCGCTGCATGGTAATGAAGTCATAGTTTTTGGAATAGACTTGTACAGGCACTGCACAATGGAAGAGTGGAGCAGAGATAGGCTGCCCAAGGGGAAAGACCTTTTTTCTGATTTATGATTAAGCAAGGTATACTTAATTCCACGCTGTTTTCTATACCTTTTCACATTCAGATGATCTTGTTCTACTGCCCCAGCAGCTCTTGCCTGTTCCTTTCCACCTGCTTCGTAGTATTACAAGAAAGAAAGGAGCAGTCTATGTACCAGAATAGCTGGGCTTTATGTGGACTATGCCGGATCTCTTTATGCTTATCTGCACTTGATTAGGAGGCAAAGAATAAACAGACTTTGTCAACAGCATAAAGGCTGAAAGATATTTGCAGTGCTGGAGGTATTAGAATATAGAGGTTCGGCACCATAAGCTAAACTGCTTCAGCAGATGGGAGGGGAAGATTTTGTGTTTCTTTTTCGTTTTCTTAATTTGCACCATGCAGTTGAGGACTCTGTCTCAAAAATTAAAAAACATTTTTCAAAACATTTAAAATATTGCACTATAAGAGTGGCATTTAAGAAACAAAGAGGAGACAAAACCACCCTCAGACTGTACTGCAAATACGTAAATAATTGCATTTATTTCTGATATATAAAAGGTCTGTGGATTTGTCCTTAATTCATATTGTTTAACATAAATTCAAACCTGTCGTCATTCTGTCAGTCTGATCTGCCTCTACTACTTCTTGATTTTGTTTAAAAATAAACTGCAATGGCTTTTTACCTGGTATTGCCTTGGAGGATTGTTTAAACTGTTTAAATGGATTTCATCTGAGCTTCTTATACTTGATTGCTTCCTTTGACCAAGCTGAAACGGAAACATTATTTTAGTACAAAATAAATAGAAGAACAATATGGTTAAATTACCTCACACGTATATCATATGACAGAACATTAACTGTTAAACTCAATTTGGGGATTATTAAATTACTCTGGTAAAGTCCTCATACCTGTGCAGAATTTCATCACAAGAGTTGAAACAAACTCTTTCACACTGTGATGCAGGAAAGTGAGAACTGGGAGGTTTTTTCCCTTTACTCTGCCTCTCACCTGCTCCTAACAACTGCTCTGGTGAGATCCCACCTGGAGTACTGCCTCCAGCTCTGGAGCCCTCAGCACAGGAAAGACATGGACCTGTTGGAGGCACTCTAGAGGAGGGCCACAAAAATGATCAGAGGGATGGAGCACCTCTCCTATGAGGACAGGCTGAGAGACTTGGGGTTGTTCAGCCTGGAGAAGAGAAGACTCTGGGGAGAACTTACAGCCTTCCAGTGTCCTTCCAGGGGACCTACAGGAGAGACGGGGAGAGACTCTTTGTCAGGGAGTGGAGCAATAGGACAAGGGGTAATGGTTTTAAACTGTAAGAGGGGAGATTTACTAGATATAAAGAAGAAAATTTTTTACAATGAAGGTGGTGAAACTCTGGTTTGCGCAGAGAGGTGGTAGATGCCCCATCCCTGGAAACATTCAAGGTTAGGTTGGACAGGGCTCTGAACAACCTGATGTATGTGGAGAAGTCCCTGCTCATTGCAGGAGGGCTGGACTAGATGACCTTTAAAGGTCCCTTCCAACCCAAAGCATTCCATGATTCTATGCCCAAGGGACCAGAGCAGAGCATCCATCTCCCTGTTAGCTCTTCCTTGCTCCTCAGGTGCACAGGAGGGAGACTCATGTCAGGAGGAAGGCAACACTGGTGCAGCCCAGCTTTGCAGGCAACGGATCAGAGAGAGTCAGGGCAGAGTATGGGAGAAGCCAGAGAAGAAAGAGAGGTGGCAGCATTATCCATTTCCTTTCTTTCACAGCACTTGCATGTAACTAATGGGACCTCCATTACCACAAAACACATGAGGAGTTTGCTTCCCCCCTCTCTTGCACTAGTGGCTGAATGTAATGGATTATGCAGCTCATGCCAGGGACCACAAAATTATTTGCTGACATTTTTGAGTAGCATTTTCTTTACTACATGTGCTGAAAGGAAAGGACATCGCTCCCCAGTGAAACATGGAGGGTGCAATCTGCAGGCTTCATCACCAATTTACATTTTTGAGAAGGACTGAAGCATCACAAAGCAGTGAACTGAGCCTCAAGCTTCATGACTGCGCTGCAGTAAGAGTGAATAGCAACTGTCAAAATGAAATTAACGATATTACTTTAGGTTGATAATGGGTCCAGTTCAATGAGTAGTAGAGCAAGAAATAAAAAAAAATATGAAATATAAATCACGATTGATCTGGATGAGAGACAAGTAGGACTGCCACTAAAAAGTCGCTTCTCTGTAATTACACATGGTCCAATAATATTTTTACTGTTTTAAAGCACAGGGCTATCATTGCAGTGTCTCAGATCCTGTGGGATCATAGAATCATAGAACTGTCTAGGTTGGAAGGGACCTTTAAGATCATCTAGTCCAACCATCAACCTAACTCTGAAAAACAAAAAAAAAACCAAAAAAAAAAACCACCAACAAAAAAACCCAAAACACACCCACATTACTAAACCATGTTTCTAAGCACTATATCAACCCGTCTTTTAACTACCTCCAGGGATGGTGCCTCAATTGAGTGTCTTTATGTTGGTTACCTCTGTGTCTTTATGCATTGAGCACCTGAGATAAGCAAACTGGGGCTCTCTGACACCTGGTAAGTGACATGTGGGATATGCTGGGATCTAGTTTGATAGGCAGGAAAGCAGTGGAGGGTTAGATGCTTATGCAGCTGTAGAGGCACGTCTCATATCAAGGCAGCCCACAACAAGATGCCTGATGTTAATGAAGGCTAAAGCCCTCAGCTTTAGCCATTTCTCCTGCAACTGAAATCACTACAACCTCTTGAGGTATAATGGGAAGTTCTCATGGCTGAACTCTGACAATAAATGGAAGCAGTAATATGGAATATGTGATAAATATTCAGCAGATGCCAATTAGAAAATAATAAAAACATCTCAGCAAAGAGCTTTACTGGGGCTATGTTCTAACTTACACGTACTAACATAAAGGCTAAAATAAAAAATTTGGGAATTGTACAGGTATAAAAAGGCTGAATGAGGCATCAGATTCACTTTTTTAACCAGAATAAAGACATAAATTAAAATTCTCAATGCTCCCCGTTGCTCCAGAGCTTGCTTTTTAAAAGCATTCTAGCTTTCTAGAATTCCAAATGACTTTATATTCACTTTAAGAGTAAAGCAAGTAAGTCTTCATGAATGTGCATACAGGGAATAATTTAAATACTTTCAGATTTTGTTTAGCATTTCACAGAATCATACAAAATGGTTTATATTGGAAGGGACCTTTAAAGATCATGTAGTCCAATCCCCTTCCATGGGCAGGGACATCTTTCATTAGATCAGGTTTGTATTTCGATTATTTTTTCCTGCAGAAATGATTACACTTATTGGTAAAATATATTAAATTGCAATTAATACAAAGTTTACACTGAATTTGGATTTTTTGTTCTTTAGAAATGTCTATATACACATACTTTTAAAAACATTATGTATCTATTCAGACTGTTTATTTGACTCAGAAAAAAATAATGATCGAATATATATAGTAATATATAAATAGATATATAAATAAGAATTATCTAACATATTAATCTGAATTTGGATAGAAATTGAATTAAAGATGTATAAAAAGGGCAAGCTATTCTTGCTTTTTCTTGCTTGAATAAAGCTACCCTAAATGTTTTGACTTTGTATTAGAAAACATAAATTTATCTAAATGTTTTAACTTAAACTATGTATCTGATGTACAATAAAAAATAGTGGCTAGTGAGTTTAAATGACCGTGCAATCACTATGTCTTTCAGGATTTTAGAACTATTAATACTCTCTTGGGCCTCACCTTTATTACTAGATTAAAAGAGAAAAATTATCTTCCTGCTTTTTCAGCTCCTGGTTTCCTAATGCACAATTTTTGAAAATAATGCAGTAGAATAAGAGGAAGAGTTTGCTTTCTGTGCAGTGGCAGAGGAAAGTTGCTGTGGCCAAAGCTGCTCTGGGGCCTGAGCTTGGGTTCCAGCTGTGTGGTTGGTGTCCCAGCTGTGATACCACTCATGATGCTCTTACTTACCAGTTTACGTATAATCTACAAACGCATTTCATTTTATTATGCATTTAAAAATATTTATTATATATTTTATTATGTATTTTAAATGTGTTTAATGCAATCTGTCATGCCAGTTACCAGTTTCAAATTTATGTTACATTGATTCACTTCAAAAGATAATCCAATGCTTAACTAAAACTTGACTTTCAATTGAAATAGCAAAATTGGTAATATGTACGGAATCAGTTAAGTGAGACACTGCAGACTTGTGAAACCAGACATACTGTAACATCTTTATTTAACTTTGACCTTTCAGCACTCTGCATTTTTTCAATAGAATAATGTACTTTTAATTAACTAGGAGCTGCATCCTGCCAATTGGCAGGTAAATCACAAGTGTAACTTCATTAAATGTGCTTATGTGTAACAGTAACAGGAGAAAACATCTATTGTAAACTGCTGAATGACCACTTGGTGGCAGAGATTGCCAAGATTTCATTATAACTTCGCTTTTACACAAAATTTGTAAACCCTTTTTAAGCTTCATGCCTATGGCTTTTTCCTCTCCTCAAAATTACTATTAGAGTAAACTCAGCCTGGCTCATTAATGACTAACTAGTGTTAATATTTTTCAGTTATTATCTATTGAAAACACACTAGAGGGACCAAAAAAAGGAAATTCAAATAAAACAATGATATAAACCCTATCAAAAAACAACTCGCCCCCAGGAGAGTTGTGTGAAAGAAGACATGTAGCATACATGGACCATTGCTCTTAGAAAAAAATCTTTTTTAAGCTTGCTTCACATTTCATCATTCCCTAGCATTACTTAAAATTCAGTGCAATCAGAATAGTAATGTAATTACCCTAACTGTTTTGTGTAGCACTTTGTTAACATCTTAAATTCCAGTTTTCAGAAGTAGCTGATGGAATTCCAGTAAATTGTACATGCTTGGACCAGAAGTGTGGGATCCCACAAAATTACTCTGTTTGCACTCCCAGAACCAGAGGTTACTTGTGAAAATTTTAGAAAGACTGTTTTATAGTAGGAAATTAAAAGTTAACATATCTTTTGTTGTTTGACTGAGAGTTTAAAGCTATTTCAATAATCAATTGTTCCTCATTTCTTTGCTGTAGGGCCATATTAAAAGAAAATGGCTTACACAGGTTATCTGCCAGTATTGGTTTTAAGCTTGGGAAGGTGAGCAAGTTCTGTGACGCTTAAAACTATAAACTTTCTCCTTCACAAGGCAATTTTTCAATTTAGAATAAAAATCCAAGTAGGTTTCTTTAAACCTCTCATTTTTCTTCATTCATTTCCCCCTTTTTTTGGCTTGAGTTTCTTGTTCACTTGATGTTTAAAACACTAATTCTAGCCTGACACAGAAAAAATCTGCAGGTTTTAATCAACAGCCTGAAAGAAAACATCTTCACAGCTTTTCCTCTTCTATGTAGATATGTCTCAATGAATTAGTTTCTGGCGTGTCACACTTTGAACACAGTTGTGTAAATCACTCGCCTTTTAGCATTGCCAGTATCTGGCTTTGTTTTCTGCCAGTGGCAATCAGGGCAGAGCTGGCTCTAGGGGCAGAATCTGTCCCCTTCCCATCTTAATTCTTGTCTTTACACTCACCCTGGTGCTGTCACATCTTTTGCACTGAGAAGATTCAGGCTCTGCAGGGGAAAGACACACAGGCTGGGTCTCAATCAGTAAACTCAAGTGTGTGTTAAGGGTATTGCAATGCAGTGTCTTCCATCAGTAAACTTTTTGTGTTCTCCCAAGTAGGACTTGCACCAGAGCAACTGGCTCTGTCCCCTGGCACAGTTTGGCAACTGAATGGTCTGGGGACAACGGCTTGAAGCAATCCTACTTTGGGAGGAAAACCACTTAATGGGGGTAAGCCATTCCTGAGCTGGTCTTGGTGCCCAGATAAGCTCCCTGTCACATTTTATTTACTAGCACAGACACAGCCACCAAGTCTTGGGTCTGATCTTGCCAGATTTTTTCTTATCTTTGCACAGCCCATTGTGTTTACAGTAGCTCCTCGCTCAGCAGTCCCCGCAGCACCAACCTGCTCAGCACAAGATGAGTCCAAAGTCAAAACCCAAAAAGCCTGAGAATGCCTCTGAGAAGGTGCCATAAAACAGCCTCAACGATAACGAATCATCAACAGTGGGTCAAAATGTGACACAAAAACATTTTAGTTGCATTTTAGAAGTGCCAAGGATGGCAGCATCTGATAGATTCAGATAAAGTCAGCTCCACAACACGTGGTGGTCCCAAAGGTAAGTAAAAATGTAATCACCTGGCAATATCAGTCACCCTGCTGGAAAAGCTGAGGAATGAATTGATGTGACTCTATTGCTTTATGTTTTTCAATGTAAAAGCTTTTTTTTTTTATTTTGATCTGCGGTTTTATAGCAAAATAAAATTAGACCTTTGGCTGGGGCGTAAGCACATTTCATTTAGCATTAGTTACACTAGAATCTGCAGTGAGTGGAAAGCATTAATATTTGAAGACTGAAAATTAATTCAGGGTTAGGAAAGAATCTGATAAAGCATGGTGGCATCCTCACAGCTCTCTTTCAGGGAGTCTGCTGGAAAAACAGACACAACTGGTATTGTTTTATCTAGAATTGGTAATTATTACAACTTGCACCTTTTCAGCCATCTGAATTCCTAGATTTGAACATAATTTGGGAATGACAAACATCCAGCTTCTTTACTTAGGGTGCAAGAATGGGATTTTTAAGAGCACCTGTTTCATGGGAACATAAATTTCATTTAAACAAGTGATTAAAAATAAGCTTCTAACTTACTTATGTGCTTTTAAATGTCACAAATGAAGTGAATTAGAAAAACAAAAATCCTTTGATTTGTTGTTTCTCACAATTGCCCAATTTAAAGTTGATATGCATCTCCTTATAGCCATGATTTTCAGGGATGACCTTATCACTCATGGAAGTTGTGAAACCAGTTTGCATCAAGAAGCTCTTAAATACACTAGGATTAGATTTCCCAAATGAAATTAAGTGAGATCTGTGAAACACTAGAAAAATTACCCATAGCACACAAGAGACTTCTGAAGTTAATAACATCTTGCCTTTGTTGACAGTGTTTGTCATGTCTGTGTTTAGTTTTATAAACTGTTATGAACTTAACCAGAGGCAGAGGCTTGCCAGACACACAGTATTTTTCCCTATAGCTCCACTTTTTCCTTCTAGGATTGTAACCAGTTTCTTTTCTCTTTTACTCTTCAACCAATAACTGTGATGGGAAAAGTGCCTGTCATACTGGTGGCAGAGCGCTGACAGATGCACGTAATTTCTCTACTGACCCCCATCTATTGACTCTTTACTAGAGACCCAAGAACTCCTAACCCTGAAGGCCTCTTCTCAGACTACTGCCTCTTTTAACAAAGATCATTCCACAAGAAAAAGTTCCATAAATGACGTTGATTCTGCCACTATAAAAAATCTGTAAATTCCTTTTTTTTTGTGTGAATGTTACCACAGGCTCACCTTTCTACTCAGTCTGATCAGTTGTCTTGCAAAGTTCTTCTTCCCTAACGTGTTACAATAGTCCTAGTCTTTACACGTCCAGTACCACCTACCACCATGTGCTGTGCCCCACGTTCTCCTAAAGCAATTAATTTGAATTATATCAAGACACCGGAGGAAAAACAGACTGACTATAAAGTCTTTAAATAAGCCCATGAGATACAGCAATCCCCGCCTGGATGCAGTCCTGAGTAACATGCTCTAGCTCTAGGCAATCCTGCTTCAGCAGGGGACTTGGACTAGATGATCTCTATGGTCCCTTCCAACTCTAGAAATTCAGTGAAATTCAGTGAAATTCAGTGAAATGAATCAACTCAAGTGCTTTTTAGTGCAGTTGTGTAAATAAAACAGATAACAGGATGCTTTACAATAAAAGCAGGCTGCATCCTCGGTGGAAGCAGAGATAGGTTACAAAGGGGGAATTTAGAAACTCTGCCCAGGCATGTGAGGGTGTTGTTAGGAAAGACAAACCTCACCTGAAGCTGACATTTGCAAGGCCAGTAAGAGGAGCTCCTGCTGCTACAATAGGAGTATAAGGCTTAACAAGGAAAATGTGGGCCTGTTGCTCAGTGGGGCAGGGGATTTAGTGACAACAGAGTCAGGTAAGGCTGAGGGACTTAGCCAACAGTTTGCAAGGTCTCTGTGCTTAATGAAGGGGTGCGAGGAGGAGGAGAATGACCAGCCACGGAGAAGGGTCAAGTCAGGGGTTACTTGAGAAAACTTGACCCAGGCAAGTTAATTGGGCCCAATATGCTCCATTCATGGTTGCTGAGTGAGTGGATCATAGAATCATAGAATTGTCTACATTGGAAAAGACCTTTAAGATCATTGAGTCCAAAACTGAACACAGTATTCAAGATGTGGCTTCACCAGTGCCAAGTACAGGGGGTCAATCACTTCCCTAGTCCTGCTGGCCACACGATTTCTGACACAAGCCAGAATGCTGTTCGTCTTCTTGGACACCTGGGCACACTGCTGGCTCATATTCAGATGAAGTCCTTCACTACATAGCATTTGAAAGATCATGGAGATTGAGAGAGGTGCCCAAAGACTGGAGAAATACAAATGTCAAACTCATCATCAAAATGAAGATCTGGATAAAACCAGGCCACTCAATCTCACTTCAGTTAACTGGCAAAACAATGGATTGAGTCCTCTTGGAGCACATTTCTGTGCACATCAAAGAGGTTGAGGAAGTCATCAATCTTGACTTTAGCAAGGGTTTTAACCTAGAATTTATTTATCCCAGAATATTCTTGTACCTGCACTAGGATGTTACTGTCTGGATGGGTGGATGACTAGATGGGCAAAATCCTGGCGGGATGGTTGTGCTTAGAGGGTAGTACAGGTGTCTTGTCTGGGACTTGCCCTTTTAAACATCTTTATCAATGACCAGGTGTCAGAGGTGTTGAAGCACACTCCTGTCAAGTTTGCAGGCAAAAACAAATTTGGGGAGGGAGGCAGCTGATAGGCTTGAGGGCAGGTAGACCATCCAGGAGGACAGGGCTGTCAGAAACCCTGTGAATTTCAATAAGGACAAATGGGAAGGAATAACTCTTTCAACAACACAAGCTGCGGACTGGCTGCCTGGGGAGCAGCTCTGTGGAAAAGAACCTGGGGGACTTGGAGGGCAGCAAGAAAGATGTTAAAAAAGTGCAGCAAGTTCAGCAGAAGGTCACAAAGATGTTCAGGACTGGAGCACTTGCCCTATGAAGAGACACTGGGGAACGTGGGCTTGTTCAGCCTGAAGCAGAGATGGCCTCAGGCGCACCTAACAGGAGTCCCCAGAGTGTACAGGGAGGTCACTGAGGAGATGGAGTTGGGCTGCAGTGCTGCAGGACAGGAAGAGGAAACACAATGGACAAACTCCAATGAGAGGTAGAAGCAGCAACCTTTTCCCCATGAGGACAGTCAGGTGGTGGCACATCTTGCCAAGAGAGGTTATGCAATCTCTATCCTTGGATGTTTTCAAGACCTGATTGAATGAAGCCCTGAGCAACACAGCCTGACCTCAGAGTTGACACTGCTGTGAGCAGGAGGTCAGACCAGTGGCCTCCTGAAGTCCCTCCCTTCTGATTCTCTGATTCTGTGACAGGAAGCAGGAAGAACTGTAAATTTACAATGGTATTTTTGGACTTAACTGATTATAGATGTAGACAAATATTTCTATTAATAAACAAAGTAAGAATTTCAGCCTGTACATAGTGACTGACTTCAGACTGGATTACGTTGGGAAATTCATGAGAAAAACAGGTCAAAAGCAAAAATGAAGCTAAAATTGGCAGTCAGTATATATGGTACAAAATTACCTTGTTCATCTCTGCATCTTCCTGAAAGCTTTTCTTTTGGCACAGAAATGGTTTAGAAATACATTTTTTGATTCTGAGTAGGAGATACAGCAAAGATTTTGGGCTTGGCACTAAGTTGAAGGGTACTGGAAGAGTCCTCCCTTCTTCAAAGTAAGAAAACCAAAGTTTAGCCCTTGCAAATTTCCATTCTACATCAGCATCATCCTGAAAAACAGAAAGACAGCTGTTAATACACTGTTAATACCACCTTGACTATTGACAATGCTATAGCTAAACTTCATGTGTGTTTTGAATGTGATTGGCTAAAGTTAATCTCAGACAGATCAAGAACTTGTTTATAAGCTGTAAAAATCAATTTTCAATTAATGGAACTGTTCTTATTAATCCGTTTAAAATAATGCAATTACAGAAGAACAAAGCGGATTTAATTTAAACACAGGTTACTCCAGAGTGAGTGCTAATAGCCTGCAATGCAGGGTCAGAAAGACAGACCTCTTTGTTTGGTGCTCTTTGTAAACACACAGATAAGAAGGAAATCTCTGACTTAAAAACACACAGTATAATGCCCAAGTTAAAGCTTCATGGCAACACATTCATCTGCTAGGGCTTGACTGAGTAGCCATTTCCTTGGAACACTGTCATGCTCAGTAAATAAAATGGAAAAATCCTACATTAACATAACAAAAATGTAAATCACTCAATGTGACTACCAGTTCTGATTTCTCATCTTATTGGTCTCTTCTGTAGCAATTAGTTTATTATCTCTTTTTGTGAAGAAAACACAATATCAGAATTTTAAAATAAAATTTTACTCTATTACTTTGAACATGAAGTTTAAAAAAGATTAGGTGATTCTTAAATAATTACTTCTACTTTCTGGAATATATGATTAAACCAGGTATGCTACCATCACCATGCTTTATGTTTAACATTTATGATCGCCAAACATCTTATTCCTCCCTGTAAAGTTCAAGAGGGTTTTCTGCAGAAAGGACTGATGTCATGTTCAAGGACATGCCTCAATATTGCCGTTGTTTTTAGAAGCTGTTTGTATCACCATATTTTTGGATAATATGCTGTTTTTTATTGCATTGAACCTGATAGTTTGTTCTGTGGCCCCCTGAGTCAGAAGAATCTGAACCTCCCTAGAAAACGTGTTGCTCTTGCTCAAGCTGGACAACGCTATGGTCCCAAACTAGTGCCCAGAACCTGGGACCAGAGCGGTCTCAAACCTGACCCTGCTGCCCTGCTGCAAGGAGGTCACCTGGGAAAGGCTGGCATGGCCAAGCTCCTGGAGATCTGCTTCCCTTTAAGCAATGATAATAATTTGACCCTTTGTTGTCCATGGCACGCAAAAGTCCATGCTGATTTTCAGTAGCCCTGCTGATGACTTTGTCAAATAAAGTTTTGTTCACTGCAGAGGACTAGAGCAACGTTGTTTAAATAAAAGAAGGAAAGAACATGTCATAGAATTGCTTGCAAGGCCAAGGCATAGGAATGAGAACATCCTTGCAGCAAGAGGAACACTACTCAAATAAGAACTACAAACGAGGGAAAAGAAAGATTCAAAGTCACACAGTGTAGCCCATCCTGTTCACAAACATAACACAGTTCAACAGCAGCTTCTTAGTCCAGTCTTATGCAGCTGGGTAATTTCCTGGTATTTTATAATGAGAAAGTACAGTGGAATTAATACTTTCTCCTAATATATTCGAAAAGCCTATATGTTATTTTTCTTAAATAAGATTTCAACAAGAAAATTTTCCAAGAGATTTAGACAATTAGCTGTAACAGTAAATGTTTCATCATAAATGGAATTTTTACCTCAATTTCCTGGAATGAACTGTTGATCATTGCGATAAGCATGTTCAGTAAGACAATGACCATGGTAACATTATAGACTCCATAAAGGACATAACCAATATTTTCAATAAATTTATGTTTATAATTGATGACAACTGATTTGACTTCTGAGAGTCCAAATATAGCCCAGAACAATGTCTTGAAACTTTCTTCAACACTAAGAGGAGAAAGTGAACACATGCATATGTTACTGAGGAAAAGCTGTATATTCTTATTGTATAAATTGCCAGTTACCATTTTTATAAAGTATATAAATTTTTCCATTATTATAATGTTGAGCTCTACCATAGCGATACTATGCAGAACAAGTAGACTATCTAATTTCATAGGTACAAGCTGTTTCATGATATAAGATTCCTAATATTTAGGACTAACAATAAAACCACCTGATTCAGTTTAGGAATTATATATACATTCTCCAAAGAATATTACAATGATTCACTTGTTAACTAATCTACATGCTACACATTTGCTGGTAATGTGAATGCAAATAACAAAAATAATTAACTTGTAAATAATTTATTTTAATTGCATCATTAGTTCACTTTGTATGAATTATTTCACCATTAACATGGCTAACATTCTGAAACTGTGAAGAACACAGTATGTTTGACTGCAAATGAGCATTTTTCCAAAAATAAGTCTCACAGACCGTAATCCTCCAGTTGTGTTTTCACTATTCCACAAATCCATGGAAAAGGTAATAAGCTTATCCCCTAAAGTGTGGGGATATTGATTTTTTTTCAGGTTAGTTATTTTAAATACATACATTTCCTCTTAATCAGTCTTCATATATATATTTTTAATATACATATATATACACATAAGTCAAAACCTCTAAGATATCTTCTTTATCTATCTCCACCTGTTTGACGACATATTTTCTCTTGCTTTCATAAACAGATTTCAGTCCCCCATGTCCAAAAGTGCTGTAGCATTGCAAAGCACATTTTTGATTTTACTGCGTTATTGTTAAGAAAAAAAAAGTTTAAAGAAACTTTTAATTTTTAGTTGTGAATTTACTTTTCCCTTTATATTATTTCATCAGTATCCCATCTGCGAGTTATAGTTTTAGGTACTTTATCTATTGTGTGAACTAACACCACCAAAAAATTAGGTGTTACTACTAAAAGTAGTAACAATTTTTTTCCTCTTGGCCACGTTTCCTTCCTGGCTGAGTACACTTCATAACAGCTATAGCTTGAATACCATGACAGCCAGAAATTAAGTGGGCAAGGGCTGCCAAGCATGGAAAAGACTGACTTTACACTCAAGTGATTCATCTTAAAACCACAGAAACGAGAGGCATGACAAACTCACACCGAACAACTCCTAACAGACAGAGTCAATTCAGAATTTCTATTCTCATTGTGGGAGAAGAAAAAGAAAACAGCAAAGGAAATAAAGAGTTTTTAAAAAGGGGAGGGGGGGGGCATATATTTTCTCCACTCAAGATCAAATAGGTTATTGTCATTGGAAACTGTGGAAAGCCAGATCTTAAAAGAGGGATTAGATTCTTAATTTTTTTGACTAGTAAGAATATAGGGAGTTGTCTGAATTAAATTACAAATACTTTATAACATGTATCACACTGTAGTGATTCACCTGCTTCGGTTACAGATGACAGTGGCACTGGATGGAAGAACCAGCCTTGCTCTCACGCGCTGCGGGGAGACCCTATGCTGCACTCTGAACTGCTGGTGCTGACTGTCCTCACAGGCAGGATGCTGTCCTGCAGGCCCAGGGTCTCACCTGGCCCATGTCCTGAAATCCCTGAACAACCCTGGGAACATGCCCTGTGTGTGGAGTGATATCACAGCTTGCACTGCCAGGTCACCAGACATACATTCAGTGCTGTGTAGGGGCTCTGAGGTACTTCTGTTTTTAATAAGCCTCCCCTGCCTAATGCAACGTAGGAGTCTGTTGGTCTGCTTTGCCACAGGGACATGTTACTGGCTCATGTCACCCTCGTGTCCATCAGGACCCCCAGGGGTTCATTCTGCCAAGCTGCTTTCCAGCCAGTCAGCCCCAGCCTGTCCTGGTGCTTGGGGTTCTTCTTCCCCAGGGGCACAACTTCCCCTTGAAGTGTTGAACTTCATGAAGTTCCTGTTGGCCTATTTCTCCAGTCTGTTGAGGTCCTTCTGAGTGGCACCACAATCAGGTGGCCTATCAGTCACTTATTCATCAATACAGGCGTCCTACCCTTTGCTTGATGGACCAATCTTGAGCACTAAAAAGGTAATTCTTGAAAATCAATAAAATCAATCAGCTTCCTTGGACTGCCCTTCTCTTCAGGGCCTTATCCCATTAAATTCTTCTCTGAACAGGCTAAAGTCTGCTTTCCTGAAATCTGGGGTTGTGGTCCTGCTATTTGCTGCCTTCTCTCTTCTCAGGAGCCTGAACTCCACCTTCTCAAGGTCAGCCAAGGCTGCTCCCAACCTTCACATACTAAACCAGTTCCTTGTTTTTAAAAGTCAGCTGTCACAAAGCTGCTCTCTGCATCAGCTCCTTGATCACCTGCATCAGCAAGTTATTGTCAATGCCCCCAGAAACCTCCTGGGTTGCTTGTGCCCTGCTGTGCTGTCCCTCCAGCAGATATCAGGGTGGTTAAAATCCCCATCAGGACCAGGCTCTGCAAGTGTGAGGGTTCTCCCAGTTGTCTGAAGAAGGCTTCATCTACTTCACCTTCCTGATCCAGGCATTCCATAGCAGACACCCACTACAACATCACCTGTGTTGGTCTGCCCTCTAATCTTGCCTGACAAGTTCTCACTGGGTCATCATCTATCCCTAGGCAAAGGTACAGGATTCCTGCTGCTCTCTTACATAAAGGGCAACTACAGCTCACCTTCCCAGCCCGTCTTTCCTGATTTATCATAGTGCTGTTGTGACAAAAAGCTTATCCTCCCATTTCAAATATATCCTCTGAGCACCAGGACAAGAGAGAACATCACTACTTAATCCAAGACAAAGAAATTTCTAAGACACATAAACCTTATAAAACAACTAGTAAACTTAATACATACAATACAAACAACTGACTTTCCATAAAAATAGCTCACAATCATTACTGTTTATTCAGTTTTACTTACGTTGTGAATGCTTCGTTTTGTTTTGCCCCCAGGTAGTAGGAATAGAGATTAAACATGCCTATCATGAAAGCCACAAACACCATGATAAATATCACCATGAACTTGAAGATGTCTTTCACAGTCCTGCCAAGTGATATCTGCAGTGGTCCAAAGCTTTCATTAGCTGGTAAGATGTAGGCTATCCTGGAGAAACTTAATACTACCGCAATTGCATACAGGCCTTCAGATATGATCTGAGGATCAGATGGATCCCAGTTTATTCTGGCTAGAAACAAAAGATGAGAATTTTGGTCAATATTTCAAAGTCCACCTTAGGCTGTTCCCCTAAGTACTCTCTTTCAGTGAGCAACAATGAACTAGTCAGTGTAAACTGGAATGGAATGAAATGAAATGGTGCTATGCAAATTGGGAACAGTTTAGACATAGTCTTCATGAGTTTGGTTGTTTTTTTTCTTTATTATACATTGCATAATGAATTTTCAGCAATTTTTAGTCAAAGAAAAGTTCTAAGACATCATTGCCTAAATGTAAGAAGTAGCTAAATTTTACCCATTTGAACTTAAAGACACACAGAAAACTGACTTCCTAACTGACAGCTGTGAATACTTCCAAGTATGACTGCTCAAATACTTCTTCACAGTGCTCAGCAAATGTCTTACATGAAGATGCTGCTAGAAATAAAAGTGAAAGGAAGGAAGATACTTGGTTAAGACGGAAACAGAAGTGGGATATTATTTCATCTGCTACACTAGGGCTGTGGAAGCATTTTACTTTTTTACTTATGCTTCACTCTCTTCTTTTTACACCTTCATCAGAAGTGTAATTTTAAATTAGAAGATACCATGAGTGGGATTCAGTATGAGATTAAGACATCTGCAGACAGCTATCCAAATGGGAGGTATAGTCAGTGCAGCCCAGTGAGCACCTGAGGCTTGATTCAAAGCCCCTGAACGAAGACATCCGTTGCCATTTGAGATGCCCAGGGCATCCAAGAGATTTGTACAGATCTGTGGGAGATTTTTTCGGGGTAGCACCTTGGCAATTCAAATGGCACTAGTCACTTACATTCGGCCAACTGAATTGAGCCAGGTAGCCCTAAAACCATTTCACAGCTCCACTGACTCTACTGATTAGGTCTCCATTGATGATATAGGTGGGCTGTCCATGTCTGTCTTGTACTGGGGAGTCGAGAACTGGACACAGCCCTCCAGGTGTGGAGAAGGAAGGAGGGAAGGATCACCTCCTGTGACCTGCTGGCAATACTTTGTCTAACGCAGCCCAGGACACCATTTGCCTTCTTTGCTGCAAGGGCCCACTGCTGGCTCGTGTTCAGCCTGGTGTCCCCCAAGGTATGTTTGCTAACCTCTGATAAAACCTGTGGCATTAAATATTCACTATTAATATTATCCATGTTAGCACTACCACACGCAGATGTTCTCCAAGCAGACTTCAAAGTACATGCATGCACTATAAAATGGCTCAACTCCGCTTAAGTGCATAACAAAGTCACAACTCAGGAGTGATGTCAGCGGTAACTGCCTTGATACAGTGTTATATGGCACAAATGAGTTACTAGATTTGTGCTTGTCATACCCAGAAACTGTGAACATAAACAACAGTCCCTGTTTGCAAACTCTTCAAGTGGGTGTTACTGAAAACTGAATTAACATTTAACTAGCTGCTTTTATAACTTACGTGACATTTGTATCTTTCAAGTAAAATTTATAAGACTACAATTTAATGGGTTTCAGAACATATATATTAATTACTTTGCTTTTTCTACTGCCTGGATAATGAAGAAATGTAACCTTATCAGAAATAGTATTTGAGGCACAGAATAGAGATAGAAACTGATGTAATTCAGTATCTAGAGAAAAATATCTAATAAATGGAAGAGAGATGTGGTGGTGTTCAGAGTGAACACAAGTAAACAGACCTTAATTTTTTCTCAGTTGAGCAAAATAGCTTCCAGTCACTTCTCATATATGTCAAGCAAGTTTATTAACATTTTTATCTCCTACTGGTAAGGAGAGTGGATTGAGAAATATTAAAATAATATAACAGAGTCTCTGAGCAAAGAATATATAAAAGATATACTGGTATGTTGGCAAAACAGTTCCTGCATCTCATTGCTTAGTTCTGCCCCTGTACTAAATTCATGTTTGCAATTGCACCAACACAAGTGTTTTCAGGATAGAACTGTGGGGTGACAGTGGGGTTATTTTAATCTCAGATCATTTCAGTGCCTGATGTCCCCAAAGAGTTGTATAAGCATAGCCAAGGGAACTGTGGTCAAATAGTAGGGATGAGAAAGAGAAGGAGGAGTGGGGATTTCTTAAGCAGTGCATTGTGGAAATAAATTTATCTTGGCCCAAAAAGTAAATCTTAATCATGTGCAATTCACTCACCCAAGGTGTAGTATTTTATGTTAGGCTCCAGTGTTGGACTTGTCAGATCTTTCATATTTGCATCAACGAAGTTCTGGGCTCTGGATGCATGCCAAAATGCCATAAACCTTGCTATGAATGATGCCGCAAAAATTGCTAGCATACCAAAATCAAGCATATTCCATAACTCAAAAAGGTATTCCTTTGGACCTTGAGACCAAATTTCTTTACATTCCGACCATATCATGCCTGTATAAGACAGAACAGAGAAAACAGTCTGCTCTTTTATCTTCATGTTTGTTTTATTTGATATTTTATTATGTATAGGATATGCTCTTGGTTGCAGTCAAACTCAAAACAATTTTGGTCAGTAGGAGTTCAAACACAAACCACACAAACTAAATCCCTTGGACCTGCCAATTCATGTACATTCAAGCACTTCTTTCTCATGTGAGCAATAACAATTTCTCATATTGTTTTTTCCTCCACAACTAAAAAAGCTTTCAAAGAGATGAATGGGATGTGAGTATTACCATCTGTTACAGACAAAGGAAGAGACAGAAAGAGTAGAAATGCTCTGGCATGATCATATAGCAGTGGTAGAACTAATAGCAGAACTCACATTTTCTTATTTACAGATCACCCTGGGTACAGTGTCTTTTACTGAAATTACAAATATACGTGACAAGTGAGCATGAAAGTAAGAATCAGACCTAATGCTTCTTCAATAGGGCAAAGGTATCTATTCCTAATTATTCTCCCTTAATAATAAAATATAGAACTACAGTATTAGTTTATGGCTCCATTTTTATTGAGCAAATGCTTTTCCTTTTAAAGATAACATTTATTTAATCATGAACTACATTTCTAGGATTCTAAAAGAGTTAATAAAAAACTGAATGGGAATAATGTCACTATTTTTTGCACTTATCAAATTGTCTGAATGAACTTTTAATCATTTTCAGATAAGGACAATTATAATATTAATTATAGTAATTAAATTCAATGCTACATCTGTATGCACTGAATCAATTTTTCATAGACCATCTTATTAACAACTGAAATAAATAAAAATAGATTAAATTAGCATACTATGGGATTAAATTGAGAAATTATTATTTACTCCTTTATCAGATTAAAACATTGATATTTATAGAATATTTGGAAATCTAAATGCCATGTTATTCCTATAATACACAATTATATTAATCTATAAACAGCTTTACAATGAAATAAATAAAGATTGTCAAGGTCTTTTAAAGCCAGAATCAGATGGTGTACAAATGGCTCCAATTTCAATCCCAGAGGACTCCAAAGAGCAAAATACTTTAAATGCATAAACTCTTGAATGGAAACAGACTTTACTTAGCTTGAATTTAACTCTCCCATATTACTGATTGAACTAACAACCAGAATCCAGATCCTTCAAATATTTGGGCATCTAATCCCCATTGGAATAAATGGTATTAGACTTGTAAATAAGAAGCAGATATCTAAAATATTTTTGAGCATCTGTGCTCAAGTTCTGATGCTGAATAGTACTGCATCACCAAATGAAATGGGTCAACTCGGAGATCTATTCCTAGTATTCACTTCATCCCTATGTTGGGAAGGAAAAATCTACCACTGAATGTTCAGGGGTCTATAGTCTCCTTCTCTTTTGTCAATAATACGTCCAGCTATACCCTATTAATTCTGCAGGCATACTTGCAAAATAAGAGAATTTTAGCTCAAAGGACAACTGGACACAAAAACACTTGGCCCATAATGTGGAAATACTTCCCCTTGGGAGTTGACACAGCTTGACTCAAAAAAACCCAGAAAACGGGTACGCACTTTCTTTTGATATTCATAGAACTGAATTCATTCGTATTCAGATGATGTAGATTCCACCTGAAGGTTTGTAATTACCTAGGCACATGTGAATCCTGCTGACATCCAATAAGAAACATGAGGCAAATGTGGAAATGCAGCCAGTTGAAACATAACATTAACAGCAAAGGATTAAATTTAAACATTGAAATCATAGCAAGACAAATTCAAGCAAAAATTAATCTTTACCTATTACCCAAGAAATAATGAGCATCTCCATCCATGAGAAGCAGGATGTTTTCATCCTAAATAGCTGCTTTACATTGCCTGTTGTTTCATTAGGTCGGAGTTTGGTGCCATCAAATCTGTCAGCTGCATTCATGACAAGTAGACCAAGAAAAATGGTGAAAGAGGCTGCATGGGCTACAAACTTCATAAATGGTCCACGCATTATCCTCCCCAGCTGCAACAGAGGATATGAAACACAAGGACACTGCATTTCTTTCTTCAAAAAGAAAGATGTATAAGAAGAAAAGTAACACAGAGAAATATATATTTCAGTAACACACAGGAACAAATATTTGGAAAAAGTTCTATACTATGATACCATGCTGACAGTCGCCTTTAAAAGTTTCTACTTATTTGCTATTTTGAGAGGGATAATCTATCAGTTTCACTAGATATGTATTTTAACTCAGTATTTTGAAATAATTCTGCAATTATTTTGGGGCATCTATGTTTATTATAGGTAATCAAGAGAAAAAAAAAATTATAGTTATTGAATTTTGTACATGCTAGTCATCTTTATGAGGCAACAAAGAAAATGAGATTTTGACACTTACTAAAAGCATTAATTTATCACCAGGAGTGAATTATGACTAAAGAATTCTGCTTCCTGACTGAGGTGATACTCAATTTAGCACAGTTCTGGTGCAGTTTTCCCAATTTATTTTCTTTTTAAAAAAAGAGTCAGGAGGCCTCAAAAGGTTATGTTTATAGTTCTGTAGTGTCTTAATTTCCTCCCTGACTCCTTTAGTGGAAAGCTCTTCAATTTTGTCATGACTAAGAACAAATTTAACATGATTTGGTGCAACACAAAAAACCTAGAAATTCCATACAAACTCACACAAGGCTGAACTTTTAGCAATTATTTACTTTATTTTTGAAAGTGCCTGTATTAATAGTAAAAATCTCAGCTTGTTCACTTAGTTGGCAGCTGCAGAAACGTAATTTTTTATTTTAGATGAAGACAGTATCTGTATCTGACAAAAACTCCTTGGCAAGTGTCTCCTCAGCTGAAACACATAACGGTCTGTGGTTGGGAAAAGGGAGGGGAAAGCAGAAAGGAAGTTATTTGTAGTTGGTTTTTTTGCTACACTTGTTTCAATATCAAAGTCAGAATTTTGCTGTCCTTACAGTCAGCTTTTACAGAAACATAGAATAAAAGTTTGCAGCCGAGGATGTGATGGTAAGGTCTCTAAAACAGATACATTAAGAAAAGTACACAAATATGAAAAGAAGATACTTTTAAAGTAACACTGTCAAGGGTAGCAGGCATAGAATTTGATCTTCTTTCTCCTTTATATTATTTTACAAATACATGCCGTTCATTAATGTTTCTCACTCAATAAAAATAATCTTTTCTTAAATAAAATACACCATCAGCCTCATGAGATGAACTTCAACATCCAATTATTTTGAGCAAACTGCACAGAGAACAGGTAATCGTCATGGGAAAGATTTTATTTCAGGCTAGGAAGGAACAGTCATAAACAGCAGACAATAAAGCAGAGCTGGAAAATAATATCCTTTTAAATGCATTATTCTTCTGTTCACAAATGAAGATGGGTTAGGAGACAGATGTCAGAAAGATATATGGTCCGGAAATAAGAAAAAATACTGAAGGACGTAATGTTAAAATATCCCTTGATCAAAAAATATAAAAATCAAAACACTGAACTCCTGGCGCCCCCCCAACCACCCATTCAAAATAGACGGAAAAGTATTTTGAGTTCTAAAGTCTTAAAAGAGACAAAAGTCTGCAGAAAAGTCAGGGCAATCCCAAGCACAAATATGGGCTAGGAGGAGAACGGCTTGAGAGCAGCCCTGAGGAGAATGACTTGGGAATGTTGGTTGATGAGAAGCTCAACATAAGCCGGCCTATATCTTCTCCATAAAGAGATTTGGAATTTTAAGTGTCATTTCAAGATTTTATTGGATGACTATTATATGGCATTGTCATAATAACTCCCAGCATTTGCGCAATCACATCAACCATAGTCAGTCCTGCTTCCAGGGAGATTTCACTATGTATATGTAGAAACCAGAATCATAGAATTGTTTGAGTTGAAAGGGACCTTAAAGATGATCTGGTTCCAACCCCCCCCTGCCATGGGCAGGGACACCTCCCACTAGATCAGGTTGCTCAAAGCCCCATCCAACCTGATCTGGAACACTTCCAGGGATAGAGCATCCACAACTCTTCCAGGCAACCTGTTCCAGTTTCTCACCTCCCTCACAGTAAAGATTTTCTTCCTAATATGTAATCTAAATCTCCCCTCTTTCAGTTTAAAACCATTACCCCTCATCCTATCACTACACTCCCTCATAAAAAATCACTTCCCATATTTCCTGTAGGCCCCTGTAGGTACTGAAAGGCAATATGGTCTCCCTGGAGCCTTCTCTCCTCCACCCCAACTCTCAGCTTGTTCTCATAGGAGAGGTGCTCCAGCTCACTGATCATTTTTGTGGTCATTCTATCAACTCACTCCAACAGGTCCATGTCTTTCCTGTGCTGAGGACTCCAGAGCTGGATGCAGTACTCCAGGTGAGGTCTCACTAGAGAAGAGGGGCAGAATCACCTCCCTCGACCTGCTGGCCACACTTCTTTTGATGCAGCCCAGGATACAGTTGGCTTTCTGGGCTGTGAGTGCACATTGTCAGCTCACTTTGAGCTTATGTCATGAAATAAAATAGCAATCTAGAAGTTTGGGGTTAATTATGTCAGTGGTTACACTGAATTACTAATTAGAAATGCAGAGCAAACAGTTCACAAAACTTTGCAGAGCCTCTATGTGGTTTGTTACTCGAAATTCCAATGAGGCAAACTAATTCCTTTCAGAATCTGACTCTAGTGAATTCCTGCCAAATCAACAGGACTTCGTCCACGTACTTCTGTGGAGTTTCTTCTGATCTGAAACTCTCAATTCAGTACCTGTGGTCCAAGCTCAAATTAACTTTTTCCTAATGAGGAAACTGGTCAGCTATACTGGTAATGGATTGAGATGTTGAAAATGTTATAAAGGCATTTTTGCCTTTCTCAGAGCCATAGCATGAGAATGTAAAGAAATGTGTCAGAATAACTCCACCATAAGCTGTTATTTTCACCATAAATACTCTCTGCATTTTCTTTCTCTTCTGTCACTGTGCCAAACCTGGAAAAAGAATGGGTACTTTATCTTTGTGGGAGAAGAGATTTATAAAATTCCATCAATTCATACACAGAATGGACTCTGTTGATCCAGATAATTTTCTGTATTGGAGCCATTCTATCCTGAAATTAAACAGTGAACATTTTGTCCTTAAAAAAACAGAAGAATCAAATTTGAAGTATGAGTGAAGCACAAGGTAAGAAATGGCAACTGGTAAAAAAGGTGGATTTGGTTTTACATTTGCAGAATGTAATGAAACAAAAAGCATTCAATATATAAATTGCACATTGAAATGATTAAATAGTGACACAGTGACAGAGGAAGTGAAACCTTAAAGCATGTTGTGCCTTGAACCTTGACTTTAAAAAGCTACCGTGAAATAGCTTTTTCAGAACATACAATGGTTCAAAATTACTTTAAGATCCAATAAATCATTGAAAAAGGAAAATGACAAATAAATATGTCACTGCTACAGTTGAAAACCAATTACTGAAGTATGTTGAATCTCAAGGCGTGTTTTAAGACAAAAGTATTCATAAAAATCCTAGTCACTATATAGAAAAGTGAAAATGATATAACTGATTTTTATTGTCCAGAATGAATGAAATGAAAAACAGGACAAAACAATAAAGGCCCCCCTTTTTCCTCTAAGAGAACACCAGAAAAAAAAAACCAAACACAAAGACTTCAGTCCTCTCTTTCAACTTTCCTCTTCCCCTGGAATCATTGTATGCGCACCTGCTAAAATCATGGATATTATACTCTAACCTGTCAAATAATCCTTATAGGATCCCATTTGTTCCCTCTAACATAACCTCAAGGGAAATTTTCCATCAGTGTTCATTTAAAATGCATAGTGTTAAAACAGAGATTCAACACAAAGTTCAGAGAGGTTAGATATTGTAACTCATCTTCAGTGGAAAGGCTTTCCATACTACCTATCATCTGAAACAGACAGTGTGTTATAAACGGATGCAGAGGAGGCTGCATGACTGCTTTAAAAACTTCATGAAATATAATGAGTATTAACACTGCCTTTACGAGCCAATACACTTCACTTTGACTTCTAGAAAACTGATGACAATTGTTTTAATTTCTGGCATTCATGTTTCAGTGACTTCTATCTATTAATTTTTAATCACAAAAATGAAATTGCCTTTGAAGTGACTGGAATCAACCCAACAGCCCGAATTTAGGCAAGCTCAGAATCAATGGGAAGTGATTAGCAAGGCCTGCTAAGGCAAAACTAAATGAAGAACAGTTTGACTGGTTTCTAAAGTACAATTTCAACAAGACAACTCTTGCTCAACAATTGCGATTTAATATACATTGCATTTAACACAATACACTTACCTGTCAGAACATGCAATCTTGCAACCATTCCAGTCTGACTCAGCTTTAAAATAACAAGTTTCTGAAGTATGATTTAAGCATGTCAGTAATTTATACTCACATTTCCTCTCTGCCAGACAGGAATCTACATAGAGATGATAGAGGAATTAATAAAAGGCCCTTACAAGATTTCACAGACTGACCTTGCTGCAGGGAGCAATCCAGTAAGCCATTGAAAGGAACGGCAGTCCCACCGCAACAGCAAGAACAACCAGAAACTTCACTGCCATGGTCTGCTGCCTTAAACCTGACAAATTCTCATACCAGATTGAGAGAAGTTGTTGCTGGCAGTTTGGATGTGCTACAAACTGTAACAAAGAAAAACAGCACAAAAATAATATTGCTATCAGAATATCTTTTATTAAAATAACATCTATATGAAGCACATTATGAATGTTGGAATAGCAACAACTCTGCTTATATTCAAAGGACCATTAACAAAGGTATAAGAAAAAGTTTTCTGATGAGCATAATCTCCCAGCATGAAGGCATGTTATCAGCAGCAATAAGTCCTTTAATTCAAAAAACTATTATTTTATTGACACTCTGTCCCATCACAAACTATTAATGTCCATCTAAGGGTAATTAAACATAAACTTCATCTGAGAAAATTCTAGTTGTTTCTGACATCTATAATTTTCATGTTACAACTTCAGAGAATCTAAAACTTTCTGTTCCACAAAGGATGCTATATAGTCTTTAGTTATGAAAGAAAGAATATGTCATATTTTCACATGCTAACATGGAAAGTACCATCTTTTTCAGCTGGCATAAGAATACAGCTGTCACATTTGCAGGAATCAGCTAAGGAATATTTATAACTTAGTTCTGGAATCTTTTGGACAAACTCTGCAAAACTGAGTTTATCATAAAACCCTCTTTTCTGTCAAAACTTCGACGGTTGGACAAGATGATCTTTAAGGTCCCTTCCAACCTAGAAGATTCTGTGATTCTGTGAAAGTATAAGAAGCATCCTACAAAGGTGCTATTAATAAATATGAATAAAAAATAATTAAGTAATAAAAAAAATAAAGATATTAATAAAAGGTGGAACCTTGTGCACCATAAATTTTTAAGTCTAGACCAAGTTTGGTGTCATTGGCACTCCTGCTTTTGAAGTGTTCTCCTGAGCTGTATCTTCTTAATCTTCGGTTGTACAAACTTCATCACACAAATAATTCCTTCACTCTCATCACCTAGAACTTCACAACCTATATTATCCAAGAGAAGTTTTCTGGGTAATTCAAGGGTCTTGGTGCAGCTACTAACTCAGCTGGTTTCACTGAGCACTTTTCAGATGCAGAGCAGAGTATTAAACTGGCAGTAGAAATGACAGGAAGCCAAATAAGGGACGACAGCTCCTGTATGTGACATCCTGCCTGGCGTCTGCTGTTCTTCAGAAGTGAGAACCACAGTACTATTACTTCTCGATTGTGTCTCTGATCATCTATACAGACAAATACATGTTTTCTGTGAGACACACAATTTCACTCAATTTTTCTCAGTTTTCTGAGTCAGACACAACAGCTTGACAGAAATGTGTATCAATATTTTTTATCATGCAGTGCACAGGACTGCTGTGCTATACTCTGGTTTTTATTAAATCTTTTACTTTTCCAGGCTGCAGAACTAGTGCAAATTTCTTCCATCTTTTTTTTTTTAATAAATTAAAACTAAAACCAAGTAAATACCTACAAATTTTGCATATAGCTACATAATTTTTAGAGCTATTTGCTCTCATACTTAGTGTGACCAGCATCCACTCTGAATATCTGCTTCTTGTTTATGTTAGAAGCTCTGTGGGGCAAAGATCTTTTTGTTTGTGAAATACACTGTGCAGAAGGGCCCAAATGTTCATTTAAGCGCCATAGGCTATGAAAACATAAACATTCAATAATAGCACAATTTAATACCACGTCTGTTTGATCAACATAATTGCTTACTTTTTTAACTTCATACTTAATGGCGAGTTTTAAGCGGCTAAGGCTGGGGCGGCCACGTTCTCCATTATTATGGCTCATCTCTACATCACCATTCAAAATAGCTTCCACTTCTTCTGTGTTTCTGCACAAATCCAGGAGTCCCACTACAAAATCCTTGCATTGCATAGACAACTTCTTGTAATCATTCTAGAAAAGAAAAAGAAGAAAAACTATAACTCACTGCTAAGATGTAACACAAGAGAAATAGTTCTACATCCCGTTACACATCCTTGAGCATCAATAGTTTGTTTGCATCTTGTTACATTTTTTTTATGGTAGATTAACAGCACTTTGTTATGAGACATCTACTTCCCCTGAATGTCCAAAGAGTAGGATTTGTCTCACCTTGGTTACCTTGGATGTCTGCATAATCAATTCTTACACCTGAACTACTTCTCTAGGCTTCCTTTAGAACCAATTGAAAGTAAAATACCACTTTCAGAAAACTTGTATGACATATTTTAATGACTGTTTTAAGTTGAGATGAACCGCACAGTAAAAATTTTTCTATTCACTGAGTGTCACAGAATTATAGATAACTAGTTCAGATGTAGAAAGTTACACTGTAGAGATCTCAATTGGACAAGATGAGTATCCTACAGACAACATGTCTAAACAACCTCCCACCCTTCTTGAGAATAACATAAATATTGGGTCTGAAATTATTCTTGTAAACCTTATCTTTCTCATTTTCCAACATCACGTTTAGCTTGCAAACACAAGATTTGATTGCTGCTTTCCAGCAACAGGGTCAGCAGTGCTACAGATAGCATCATGATACCACATCCCTAACTTCATCCCAAGCCTTTGCCGTGTGAGCCAAAATGTTGCTCTAGAGCTGCAGGTGAGTTGCTTATTGCTTTAACTACCAAATGTTCTTCTCAGTCACTGTTTTCCAAAAGGCATAAGTCAAAACAGAAAAAGAGATTTTGATCATTGCAATCCACAGTTCATTAACCACTCCTTACTTGCAGCTGTGATTGGGTCACAGAAGTCGAATATTGCTAGACACATAGGGAGTTAGATGGATATAGATATAGATGTATAGCTAAAGCTGAAAAATGTGTACAGATACATTGCCCCTGGCCTAAATCTTACAAGAGATTTACTCATACATGTGTCAACAACTTCCGATATTTTTGTGATCTCTGCTAATTTTAATGTCTTAAAAAGATGAAATTACTGTAGATTTTTTCATAAACAGAAGAAAAAATACCAACAACCCAACCACCCCAAACCACAGAGGACTGCTCATGTAGTCTCTATTTTGTGTTCAATATAATGTGCTACAATTGCTTTTATTACAGTAACACATTTCCCCCCTCTTCTGGTCTCTTCTTTACAGCATTCCCCCTTCTCCCACTCTAAGTCTTTGTTTAGTTCCTTCTTTTTAATTGCTTCCTTCATGCTAACTGCCATCTAACGCACATCCTAGAAGAGAAACCTTTATTTTGAGTACACAAGATACCCTAATTTATTTGCCGAGGGTGTACTTCATGCATGTTTGTGCTTTATTACCCTCACCGCCACAATACCAGTTTATTACTTGGATATATTAAAGGGTGGCATCCAAGTTTTACATTAACTTTACTTAGATGCATGCAAACATTCACAGACTAATAGTTATAGACACTACTGTATGTCTACATAAAACTGCCAATGATTTATTCTTTTAATAATGTAATGTAAGCAAGATAGCTCAGATCTGTCATTAAAGAGAAAGGAACTTTAATGTCATTTCTCTACAAAGACAACAGAAGCAAAATGCTAAAACTATCCATTTCATGACATGTTGCATATTTAATGATTGTATTATTTATTTTCCCTCTCTTCAGAAGAATAACAGTAGAGATTAGCCAAAATCCTGACTTAGTGGCATTACAGAAAGACATTTTGAGAGTAATATATCACCTTCTGTTTGGCTTTCAGTTTTGTAGCAGCAGCTAAGATAAGATTCAGCATTCAATCATTTCAATACATAAACTTCCTCTTCAGAATTAAAGAAAAAGTAGATATTTGAGATCCACAGACAAAGCAAAAATATAGAGTCAGCCTACACACCCTTGTACAATTACGTACCATCAACTGTTCCAAACTGATATCTGACACTTAAACATCAAGTGAAAAAAGGAATATTTTTTCAAAAAAATCAGGACAAAATAATTTGGCCTTCATAAATAACTACTACAAAATATTGCAATGTATTTGTAATATATTGGTATGTGCATATTTTCTGATGGAGATACATATATGCATGCACACTCAACATACTCTTCTTCAGTACTTTCCAGCTCTGGTGACTGAGACATGATTTTCAAAGCAGTGTGCGAGGACACCATTCTCACGGTGCAGTCCGGTGCCTTTGGGTAGTTTCAAAACAAAAATCATATCTGACGATTTATTCTCATGAAGAATATGATTTTTTTTTGGAGTGCAGTCCTGTTTACCAAAATGAATACTGAATGAGGAGTTCCAAAAATAGCCAGATACCCCTATCAACACTTTGCAGAATTATTCCTTATAGAATCATAGAATTGTCCAGGCCGGAAGGGACCTCCAAAGGTCATCTAGTCTGACCTCCCCGCAGTCAGCAGGGACACCCCCAACTAGACCAGGTTGCCCAGGGCCTCGTCGAGCCTCACCTTGAATATCTCCAGGGAAGGGGCCTCAACCACCTTCCTGGGCAACCTGTTCCAGTGCTCCATCACCCTCACAGTGAAGAATTTTCTCCTAATCTCCAGTCTAAATCTGCTCCCCTCCAGCTGAAAGCCATTGTCCCTCGTCCTGTCACTGCAGGCCTTTCTAAACAGGCTCTCCCCAGCCTTCCTGTAGGCTCCCTTCAGGTACTGGAAGGCTGCTATTAGGTCTCCCCGGAGCCTCCTCTTCTCCAGGCTGAACAACCCCAGCTCCCTCAGCCTGTCCTCGTAGCAGAGGTGCTCCATCCCGGCCCAGGTGCAGAACCTTGCACTTGTTCTTGTTGAACCTCATAAGGTTCCCCTGGGCCCACCTCTCCAGCCTGTCCAGGTCCTTCTGGATGACATCCCATCCCTTTGGTGTATCGACAACACCACACAGCTTGGTGTCGTCTGCAAACTTGCTGACGGTGCCTTTAATCCCTCTGTCTATATCATTGATAAAAATGTTAAACAGTATCGGTCCCAGCACGGACCCTTGAGGGACACCGCTTGTCATTGCTCTCCATCTGGACTTTGAGCCATTGAGTACCACCCTCTGGATGCGACCATCCAGCCAGTTCCTTATCCACTGAACAGTCTACACATCAAATCCGTACCCCTCCAATTTGGCGAGCAGGATGTTGTGGGGGACCGTGTCAAAGGCCTTGCAGAAGTCCAGATAGATCACATCCATAGGTCGTCCCTTATCTACTGACCTAGTCACTTTACCACAGAAGGCCACTAGGTTCGTCAGGCAGGACCTGCCCCTAGTAAAGCCATGTTGGCTGTCCTGAATCACCTCCCTGTCCTTCATGTGCCAATTTCCTTTTGAAATTAGGTTTGTACACAGTATCACAGTGTATACATGCACCCAGTAATCCTGAATCACCTCCCTGTCCTTCATGTGCCAATTTCCTTTTGAAATTAGGTTTGTACACAGTATCACAGTGTATACATGCACCCAGTAAATTCACCCGTAAACTCCATCAGTTTATTTTCTCATTTGCAAATGCAGTAAAACAGCTTCCCCTGCTGTGAAACAGGCTGCAGCTGTGCTCAGTGGTGGAAGCTGAGCTGAAATCTCCTCGACGGGCAGGTTACAGCAAACGAGCTACGGGGGAACCACGCGGTGCCAGCATCACCGCCTCCCACCCAGCACAGGGGCTGCAACACAGCACAGTCAGCGGAAGGCAACGCACCTCCCTGCTCCGGATCACGGTTTGCTGGCTTGAGACCTATTCCCTCAGGAAAACTTCATCCCCTTAGGGAAGGTTAAGGAGGTCAGATGGGATGATGACGTCTGAAATAGCACAGGAATATTTGTCAGGGTCTGAAGGCGGCGAAGGCAGTTCTAGCTGAGGAACTTTGTTTCTAAGAAATCAGGTGTGTTCCCTTGCAGAGACTACTGCATGGGCTGCCTTCTGCCCCCTGTCTCCTTGCTCCACTTAAACGTGTGGTGGCACCAAAAATGATTAATATGCTTTTCTTGCCATCTCAGTGTCTCTGTGTCACACACGCACAGAATCCACCCAGAGTCTCACATGTCTCCTACCATTACTGTGCGCCAAAGGAACATGGGAATTTGGTTGGTTAATCTTATTTTTGAAGATGGCCACAGGCATATGGATAAATCCGCAAGTTCTCCTTTTCTGCAAATTGTAAACTTAATAAATTAAAAAAACAGTCCTGGGAGACTTGAGCAGGTAGTTAGCCATTAAACTGCAGTTGGAGGCTCTAAAAAAAAATCAGCCCTTAATTCTGCAATAAAGCATGTATGTGTTTTATTTTACACGTGACAACACTGGTTCTCACCAGCTTAGGAAAAACCAAATGTTGCCATACCAAGGATGACGGGGAAGCTCTTGCTGCTCCCACCTAGCAAAAGGAATGTGATGATGTGGAGTGAGTGCTGCAGGGGACGAGGAACCAGGGTAACAAGATGCTGGTGGCAGAAGAATGACAGGAGAGGTGGGGGTGACAGCCACTGCTGCTGACAGGGGGCACCAGCCTCCAGCCTCTCATGGCAGGAGAAGTTGCAGACTGTCTTGCTGCCCCAGGTAAGGGAGCAGGCAGGTCACGGTCACTCTGAAAGCCTCAGCTGACCATGATTTGCCTTACGTCTGACCATGAAAGCAGGAGAGCATGGCCAGGAGCGCAGAAGAACATCACCACAGCCGTTTCTCCCAGAAAAAAGGGGCATTCTCTACATGGCCTCCTGTGACCAGTCACAGGCTCCTGCTGTCCCCCAGACTGTCCCCAGGATGAAAATGCTCTCAGGGTGCAGGATGACACTGAGGCCCACTGATGAGATGGAGCAGTGTTCCACACCACGTCCTGACCCTGCTTAGTGAACTGTAGAGGCCAAGACCAAAACACAGATATCCTATATAAGGATTTATGATTTCAAAGTGCCTTTTGAATGTAAGTGAGACCTACATGTTGGATTTAGGCATCTTAGAAGGTAGATGGACACATTATTCCCCTTACAAAGGTGGTCCCTACTCCTTCAGTGCCTCAGTTCTTCTCTAAAAAGTGATGTTAAATTTTCTCTGAGAGAGTTAACAATACCCATGACGAGGACTGGAACCTGATTTCTGTAATGGAGTTGTAGAAATGACAATGAACAGAAAATCAGACTTTGAGATGATAAACTGGATTTTGCTTTTCATCAGAAAAGCGAACTCAGATGACCTTATTCAGAGTATTAATTTACAACAAACAGTAACATATCTACATTTATTTTAAACATACATTTTTCCACTCCATCACATTAATCAATAAAACAGTTTGTTGTCATTATTGCTGCAGAGGACTTTGTACTAAATGCAAATCTTAGCCATTTTGAACAGCATTGGGCCACAGCTGTCCCTCTCAAAACTCCAGGCCACATCTCTGCAGGACAACATCTGTCAGATATGATCTGCATCCTTATCAACAGAGTAGAGATATTTGCTCTAGGGTGGGCAAAGGATTTAGATGACAGAAAATATGAGCAAAATCCCCCAAAATAAAAATATTCTATATAGTATTAAACCTTGTAAAGATGCATATTTAGCCATACCTTAAAAAGCTAAATTAAATGGCATTCAGGAAATCCCGAAGATCTCAGAATTACTCTGGAAGCCTGAATTAGCTGTTTGCTTGGTACAGAAATACTCCCACACTGTGATTGACACATCTGTCCAGTTAGTCTTCCTTCAGCAGTCATCTTCTACTTCCATCTGGTTTTACTCCTAATAAAGAATTATCCTCCAAAGCACTTGTAAAAACAATACATGCAACCAAATGCAACAGGCATGTAGTGCTAGATAACATCACTACAGAGGTCTGAAGCAAATAAAGTAGTTTATTCCAGAGAATAGCAGTTTCTACTGATTATGGTAGTTCCTATTTTGCATGAATTACAGTTTCATGGTCAGTGTTATCTGTAACCTTAATGATAGTGTAAGTCAGGAGAAAGAAGTAATTTAGAAGACAGTCACGAAGCAACCACCATCATAGTTCAGCACCAACCCTTTCTATTGCTTCTGAGGAAGACCTGGGAATCACTGTTGCTGTAGGCACCCACTAGGAAGCTCTTCTGCAATAATATCTCATCAGCACTATAAAATAGGTGACTTTCAAAGCAGCGTATTACCAGAAAGTTCAATTTTCATTCGGGTAAGGTTTAAAATGCTTTAAAAGGCTCAGGCAAACCCTAGGTGGAGCTAAAGACTTGCCACATCCAGGTAATTGATGCACAAAAAATAGAATTGTTTTGATTACGCTAACATATGTAAGACACTTTAATGAAAACCACATTTTTACTCAGTGACTACGCTATCCAGATAATTGTAGCAGACTCCTGAAATAAAGTAAGGGCAACAATTTTTAGATAAATTGCTGCAAGCAAGGCTATGAGCTTGCAGGAGCAGAAACAAGCCCACACTCAGTAAAGACAACAGCATCCATTTCCTGCAGCTTGCACGCACAACCTCTGTACAGCCTGCACTGAACCCAAGCTCCGTGTATCTCTGTCAAGCCCCGAGCCTGTCTAGATACTGTAAATGTTATCACTTACCAATAGTGTGAGTGTTAACTCTTGTCAATGCACATATAAATGTACTAGTTCCTTGTCATTAATATTTATCCATAACCACCCCATGATTTTAGTACTTACAAAAATGTTCCCAAAAGACCTTCTGTTGCCAGCCGTCTGCTCTTGGTGAAACCTTAAATTAAGGGAGACTTAAATTTCCATGTTGCCTTATGCTCCTGCTCCTCATTGTTCCCATTCACCTTCACCCTACCCTAAAGAGTTACGTATGTCCAAGCAGAGCTTGGCTGACTAACAGGGATACGGAGCTGCTCTGCCTCTTCTCCAGCCTCCTGGACAAGGCTGAGGGACAATACCTGAAAATCTCTCTTACAGTCCTTTATAGAACACTACCCTGGCAGTAGAGCTCTAGTTTTAGAGACGGCAACAGCAGCAAAAGAGGAACTGAACAAACACAAGTCACTCAGGGATGAGCCAGGTCATGCCAAGGACGGACCTCCTCATGGCACTTCAGGGCAGGCTGCAGAAGCATGGATTCTGAACTAACCCACCTTTTCTCACCCACATGCTCCATTCCCTGTCCTGGTGGTACCAGGGACAAATACTGTGCTCCCAGTTCATCTTGCCAGTTGTGTACTGCAGCATAGATTTGAAGGACACTTCTTGCTGACAGTTCCAGATGATGATTTTATTTATCTTTATAATAATCTTAGCTTGTGTCACTCCAAACTGTGGTAAACGGAGCTATACAGTCCCTGCAAATCAGACATGCTATTTATCTCAACATAGCTGTGAACTTAACAGGCTGCATTTATGGTGTATGAAAAATGTTCTTCTGTTCTGTTCTAAATTTACTCCCCTTTAAGTTAATCAAGTCCTTTTGTTCACATCTTCAGCAGCTGCTAAAGAGAAAGAAACAAGAGTATGTGGTTTAAATACTCTTCTCTGAACTGTACATGAAAGCACTGAGTTAAATCTCAGACCACTGAGGTCCTAAGGATTTCTGCCAGGGACTACATGAGGCAGACTTTCATCCTCTGCATTAAGCTGAAATGCCTTTCCCAGAATTTGGTCTTATTGACATAAAATAAAAATACTCCTCTGCTCCTATTCCAGCTGTTTAGCTGCTGTTTTTAAGAACCCCTTGCATGTTCCCACTCCAAGAAATATATCAGCTTCTTACAACAGATTGGTACCACAAAGGTACACCTATGAGAACGAGCCAGGAGTAATTAATTCAGAACTGCAGCAGCTCAGCTCAGGTTGGTTGAGCAGAGGTGGGTTCACGGCCTTGAGAACTGTGCCACTGCTCAGAAGATTAACATTAAATATTGATCATGGCAACTTCAAACTCTTCCTAACATAATGTTGGAAATGATTCTCCTACTTCTTTCAAGGGGGTCTGATCTCCTGCTAGTGAAGCCTAGACATCTTACTCTGTCCCAGGAGTATCATCTAAGGGTCCTTGAATCCTTGGGTGTCAAGTATTTTATTTTATTTTTTCCAAAATAATGCATTTTGGTAACATTAAAAATTCTATATACACAGAAAAAGTCTTTAATTTCACAGAGTTCACATATAAGTAGATACGAATAAGTGAAAAAGAGGAAGAGGTTAGTAGAAACACCAGAGAAAAGCAACACATTAAAAAAGGACAAGAAGGACACTATTTAGAGTTCTTTTAGTAAATAATTGTAAAACATTATGAGAAATGAGAAAGCTTTCAGTCCAACTATGAAAAAATAATGAGAATGTATGAAGGTTTAGTAGAACCGAGCAATTTGGCTGATGTAAGTGACCAAATTATCCCACTACAGTCTCCTCTTTCCCCTGTTCAAAGTCAGCTTCGCTCATGGGTTTGAAGGGACTTCCTTACTATCCTGCCTGACAGGGAGCAGAAACTTTGTTCACTGGCATCTTCTACACAGGCAGCATGAATTACATTAAGCACAGAGGACTAAGCCATCCCCAACGATTTAAATCTCCCATTCATTAAACAATTAAACATTTTCCCATGTTATTCTGCTGACTTGTGAAGATGATGCTGATCTATTACTGTTCAAGAAATGGGAGAAAAACCTTTGAATGAACTTTACAATTCTGTGTCTGTCAGAATCAGTATCCCTCTACTCACCTTAAACTCTTTTTCAATGTTGGCAAGCACGGCCAACTCATTGCTGAGCTCTAAGGCAGTCATTACAGGGTCTTCACTGGACAAAGACAGATAAGCAGGGCTGGCCAGACCTTTGTAGGCATTGATTCTAGACCTAGAATGGCTGAAAGAGTCATGCTTTTGTTTCTGATTGCATTCACTGCACTTGCAGAAATAGTCATGTGGTCTATCGATCCGAGCTCCTTTTCTCAGCAGAGTGTGGACAATCTCATACTCATGGCAATGAGCGGCCAAAATGATCGGTGTAACGTCGTGGGAAAACCGTGTGCCATCTTCATCGTATGCATAGAAGTCATCGTGCTGGAGCTCCGACTGGCTGGGACTCAATGCAAGCCTCTTGCCTTCAGCAAACGCAGGATGGCTTAGGATGGCTTCCACTATCCGAACGTAACCTTTGCTAATAGCCAAAAGCAAGGCATCCCCAACCCGAGACAGGTTCTCCTTCTTCAGCAGAAGTTCTGTGATCTCCAGGTGCTCGTTGGCAACCGCCAGCTGCAAAGCGTTCTGCCCCATATAGTCCACACAGTTCACATTGAGGGAGGGACATTCTTCCAGCATTTTGCGAATCACTGGAATATTTCCATATTCTGCTGCATCCAAAAAGCGCTCCTCCTCAAGAGAAAGACTTGTTGAGTGGTCATTAAACATATAGGCTGGCCCTCGACTGGCCTGTCTCCTGCCCTTCTCCCGGAGGATGGTCTGTCGCCGCAGCGCTAGTCTGTTCTCGTTGCCTCGGCTGTGTGGAAATAGAGAAATTATTAGTTCTGTTTATACAATGGAATATCCATTTTAAACAATAATTAATAAAAATATTTTAATATTCTGCATATTTTTAATGCAACAGGGAGACCAGAAAGCCTGACTCTGACGCACTTTGTAACCACTGTCACTACACAGCCCTGGAATCAGCAGCCAGCTACCTTTTATTTCAACACAAAGACAAAGCTTTAGCCAATCAACATTTCAGAATATGCTTTTTTTCCCCTATTTTGTCTTCCACAGCTTTTACAAAATTTTTACTGAAGCTGGATTGTTAAATAGGTAGAATAACAGTTTTACAGGTAAGGTTCTTTCTCAGGTTTACACAGAAACCCCTCTCTTTTTCTCAAGCCCTTTTCATCATTTGGTATCCCACACATCCCTCTGATATATATTGTCACTTCACAAAATGGTCACTTGACAAACCCAATTGCCTTCCATGACAAAGTAACCTGCTCTGTTGATGAGGGGCAGGACGTTGTCCACCAGGATTTCTCCAAGGCTTTTGACATGGTTTCCCACAGCCTCCTACCAGAGAAACTGATGGGTTACAGTCTAGACAAGCGGTCTGTGTGGTGGGTGGGGAACTGGCTGACAGGTCAGACCCAGAGGGTGGTGGTCAATAGCTCCTTTTGAAACTGGCAACCTGTCACAAGTGGGATCCCCCAACCATCAATACTGGGCCAGCACTGCTTAATACCATTATAAATGATCCGGCTGGCAAGATCGAGTCTACCCTGACGAAGTTCGCCGATGACACCAAACTGAGTGGGGAAGTGGACACTTTGGAAGGGAGAGCCACCCGTTAGGAAGACCTGGATAGGCTGGAAGAGTGGGCTAACAAGAAACTTATCAAGTTCAACAAGGACAACTATAAGGTTTTGCATTTGGGAAAACAGTCCAGGAGTGCAGCACAGGCTGGGACCTACCTGGCTGGGAAGAAGCTCTGTGGAAAGGGACCTGGGGGTCCTGATGGACCAGCTCAACATGAGTGAACAGTGTGCTACTGTGGCAAAGAAAGCCAACAGGATGCTGGCTGCATCAACAAGGGCATCACCAGCAGAGGTAAAGAAGTCGTTATCCCATTCTACTCAGAGCTTGTCAGGCCACAGCTTGATTCAGTTTTGGTCCCCACTATATAAAAAAGATGTGGACAGGCTGGAGAGGGTCCAGAGAAGGGCCACAAAGGTGATCAAAGGACTGGGAAACCTGCCACATCTGGAAAAGCTGACAGAATTAGCCTTGAGAAAAGAAGGCTTAGGGGAGACCTTATCACCGTGTTCCAGTATTGAAAGGGTGGCTACAAAGAAGACTGAGGCAAGGAAAAGACAAGGGGAACAATGGGTAAAAGTTATTCCAGGGGAGATTCCGATTGGACACAAAGAAAAATTTTCACAATGAGAACAATCAGCCATTGAAATAATCTCCCCAGGAAAGTGGTGGATTCCTGATCATTGGATATTTTTAAGATTCAGCTGGACAAGATGCCAGTCCATCTTGCCTAGACTGTGCTTTTGCCAAGAAAGGTTGGACCCGATGATCCTCGAGGACCCTTCCAATCTGATATTCTATGATTCTATGATTCATGAAAACAACGCTTCCTATTTTACTTTAGAAAAGAAGAAATCATTATAACCTTTTTACATACTAAAATCTCGGTTTCTGGTTACAAGAATATTTTCAATGGGAAACATTCCACTAAGTTTGAGAACTGCTGCCAGAGCAAAACTATGTTTTCTCTGGACGTACTACTTTCTGACACCTTTCCTAGACCTAGCAGATCTTTTGAAAGACTTCATTGGAACAACTGGGTATCAAAAGGAAAAAAGAACATCAGATCTCAAGTTCATTGTTTAAATATATATTTTAAGTATAAAGATGACCCGGAGACTAGCGATGACATGCGATGACAGCCTCAGTCCAGAGACAGCCAGTATCACCAGCACAAGGCAGCGAGGATAGCTCACATCTGCTCAGTTGGTAGGAGTGACACCACATGAGCCCCCAGGGTGCCCTCAGGTGGCCCCTCTGAAAGCCACCATCCCCTCAGGATGATTTGGTCTATGTTGGTGGTAAGTCACAGCTCAGAGTGAAGACAAGTCATGGTGTGAAAGGAGTCAGCAGTTGCGGGATGAGGGACGAGGCATTGGATGGGACAGCAGGGCACACAAGCATGGAAATTCTCTAAATTCCCTTCTGCCTCAGAAAAGCAGGCAGGCTGACTTTGGTTTTCTTACCCCCATCGCTACTGCAGCAACTATCTAAATTACATTTTGGATCTGATTTCTCCTCTTCACCCTGCTGATGGTTTTCTGACATCTATAATTGAATGCTCAGTCAAAAATTGAATCTGTACAAGATAAAAACACATTGACTGCATTGTATGACATCTGTTACTCCCCATCTCCAGCATCCTTTTCATTATTACAGTTCATAACCTTGATATCCTATTTATTCCTCCACTCAGTAGCTTGCCAACAAATCCTGCCAACTCTCGCCTCGTGATAGCTCTGAAATGTTGTCCATTCTTCCACTTCTACTACTGCAAACCTCAGTCACTCCTCACCTCGTATATTAATTATTGATTACTTAATTAATAATTATTTAATTGTTAAAACATAAAGTGAACCATATCAATGCTAAGTTTGCTGAGGAATGCTACAAATTATGCTACATTCTCTTTAACAAGAAAATCTAATTCATGACACTATTATTTCAGTCAACCAAGATCCCAATCCTCAATAGAAATTCAGTTCAAATAATTTGTCTCCTAGAATTACTCCGCTAAACTACATAATATCCACTACAACTTCATCTTTTTTCTTTTTGAATAGTAGATTAATGATTCTTTACATACATATGCTCAAATACACTTCACTATTTTCAGCACTTCCCACAAAATAATAACCATGAGCATCATCTTATTCATTAAATACTTACTAATGAATATAAATTTAAGTATTTAATCCACAATAAAAAAATCAGTCCTTTGTGACTCAAACCATCTTCACAAAAAGTAACATTACAAGATATTATTCCTTCTAGATTATTTATATTTAACTTTAGTATGAATTTCCTTTTTGCCTCTTGCCTCCTCAGTTCCAGAGATACAGTCCTCTGCAGCATTGGAAATGCTTCAAATTGCCAAAGTCTTAAATCTAAAAGGAAAATTTTTTTGCAAGATAATCACAGGTGTGGAATGTGGAATATATCAAAACTGCCAACTGTAACATGTTCAATACTCAGGCAGTACTAATACCATGCTACAATGGCAACTTTACAGCCTTAGTTTGGACTACATCAATCATTTCATGGTATGGAATAAAGCTAGATCCCATCCTCTTCTGCTCCTCAAGGTCTCTGCAAAGCCTTTCTCAGTTACTGTGGGTTCAAAGCATACGAGAGAACACGGATATATGCTAATGTCTTATAGGTGAATATGTGATATGGCTGGTTAAAATTTTTCCATGCATATTTGCAGACAATTTAAAATAAAAAAAATATTTTTATTCGTTGAAAAGACAGCCTTTGGAGAGGTTTCATGGAAAACATGAAAACTGAAAGAATGAAAACGTTACTGGCACTGGTGACAATATTGGTGCCAAAACCTGAAATTCAGTAAATAGAAGCCAGTCTTTTGATATATCCACAAGTGTTTTACCGGAAACTTGTGTGCTAAATTGGAACAGGGATGAAATAGTAGCAAGGAGAGATCACAGCAGCGAAAGCAGACACCAGACCCCCCAGTTTTGAAAGTTGTACCTCAAAGGACTGTAACATGGTTCTAAAATTTTCTTCAAACATGGAATACAAGAGTGTATTGGTAAGGTGAAAATGAAATGGGAGACAGGAAAGAAAAAGTTAAACACAAGATGGGGGGGGAGGGGATGAGAAAGAAAAGAATGTAAGGGGAAATTTTAAAACCTGCTGGGCTTTAAGATTTATGCAGTATATAACTCTTAGGAGATGACCATAGCAACAGCATAGGGAGACAAGTTCCCTAACTTCCACAACAAAGTTAGTTGTCAAAAAATAAAGGACTTCAATACCCCAATTCAGTTAGTCCTACAGACAAGGGTTTTAATTGGGCTGTGTGTCTCTTGAGTTTCAGAGCTTCCTGGAAAAAAAAAAAAGAGGCTCAGCGTAATAAACATAAAAGTTTGAGGAAAAAAACATTTACTTGATTCTGACCAACATCAAATGGTATGGAATATCCCTTTGGTCACTTGGGATCAGGTGCCCTGGCTGTGTCCCCTGGCAGGTTCTCACGCACCCTTCTCATCCTAAATCCAAAACACAGCACTATACCAGCTACCAGGAAGAAAATTAACTCTATCCCAGCCGAAATCAGGACACAATAACAATATAATTGATTTGAAGTACATATCTTTATGCCCCCTGCAAAACCAATCCAGTATAAAATTATGTTGCTGCCATTTGATCTGTATGCAGGGAAACAAACCTTCAACAGGATCATGGTCAATATTTTTTCCTGAGATGTTAACAACTTCAGTTAACCAGCCAAAAACCACAGTCCATTAAATACTTTATCTTTAATTTTTTTAAATAGAAACTGATTATATTTCTATTCCAGCAATACACTCTCTATGATTTATGAAAACAAAGAGTAATCATTGCTAGGGAATAATACTTAGAATTAGCTTGCTTGTTCAGTAGTGTTTCTTCTTTCCTTGCCTGCATTTAGAAGAAAAATCATTGCTTAAATGGAAGATTAAGTACATACATCCCTTGGACACCAGTTCATCTTCTGGAGTAGAACTTATTGCAGAATGAAATAGAAGATTTCTGCATTTTTTTGCTGGACTGTAGCACATGTCTGATGCAGAGCTCTAAAATCTCAGTGTTATCTATTTTCCCTGCATCAATATATTTTATATGTATGAAATACATTTCCTGGTTTGCCCATTTGCAATTACAGTTAATTAAAGTTAAGGGTCTGTAATTAAAACTGGTTCT